TATCCTGCAACTTTACTGTATTCGTTGATTAGCTCTAGTAATTTTCTGGTAGAGTCTTTAGGGTTTTCTATGTAGAGGATCATGTCATCTGCAAACAGCGAGAGTTTCACTTCTTCTTTTCCTATCTGGATTCCTTTTACTTCTTTTTCTGCCCTGATTGCTGTGGCCAACACTTCCAAAACTATGTTGAATAGTAGTGGTGAGAGTGGGCACCCTTGTCTTATTCCTGATTTTAGGGGAAATGCTTTCAATTTTTCACCATTGAGGGTGATGCTTGCTGTGGGTTTGTCATATATAGCTTTTATTATGTTGAGGTATGTTCCTTCTATTCCTGCTTTCTGGAGAGTTTTAATCATAAATGGATATTGAATTTTGAAGAGACTATTTTTTAAGATGAAGAAACAGGGATGGTCCAGCAGGGACAGAAAAGTTGATGAGGCAGGAGAGAGAAGGAATAATGTCTGTGAAAGAACTCATTCCTGAGGGTCTGGGATCCATAGCATAAAAGTACAGACAAAAGGACTGGTTGCATAGAAGGGCTTGGATAGTTCATTTGGAGAAGCTGGTTCTTTTAGGGAAGCCGGGGTGCTGGGTGTAGACGCTGGTCAGTGGGTAGGTGTCATGGCAGGAGATTATGGCAGGTCCCTTCCAAACACTGTGACTTTTATCAGTGAAATAAGAAGCATAGTACTTTAGCAGAATGTGAAGATGTAAAATGACAGAAAGATATTTGAGGGAAAAGGAAGCATGAAGTAATGGTCTGACATAGTGGAAGAGTGAATAGGAAACAGTTGCTATTAGGCAGCAAAGGTTGGAATACACCAGTGGATAAGACAGCAAAAACTTTGTTCTTATGAATCTTGCATCCCTCAGAATGGACAATAAATAATAAGCAGAGTAAATACATTAAATATATAGTAAAGGATCACTTAGTTTTATGGTGGGACGAGTCAAATGGTTTTGTGTTTTTCTTTAGCCATGCTCTGTTGCATGGTGGAAGCTTGCAGTAGTTGGATAATTTAAATTAGCCAGAGTTCTGGTTTTTACCAAGAAACCTGATAAAGAGAGAAGGCAAGGGGTTGTGGATGTCTGCAAGATGAATGGAAGACAGCACACCAAAATAGTGAGGAACAGTTAAAGTATGCTAAGATCAATGAATTGGAGGAAGAAGATGTTTTAACCATCCAATACATCTGACCCATCTTCTGCATCCCCACTGCCCTGCTCTAGTTAATGTGGTGGCTAAGAATAGTGGCAGGATTAGAATTCTGGCTCCACCAGTTATAAGATCTGTATTCTGTGTCACTTTAATTTTGTTTATCTCTGTTCAAAATGTATTGCCTTAATCACTATAGTTTCACAATAAAACTCTTGATATCCAGTAAGGCAAATCTCTGATTCAAAGAGCTGACTCACTGGAAAAGACCCTGATGCTGGGAAAGATTGAAGGCAGGAAGAGAAGGGGGCGACAGAGGATGAGATGGTGGGATGACATCACTGACTCAATGGACATAAGTTTGAGCAAACTCCAGCAGATAGTAAAGGACAGGGAAGCCTGGCGTGCTGCAGTCCATGGGGTCACAAAGAGTCCAACACGACTTAGCAACTGAACAAAAACAACAAAGGCAATTCTCTGAATAATTTTCCTAAATAAATGTGAAATAACTTTTCAGGAAAAAAAAGTTGATAAAAGTTATCACTGGCTAAAGGAAGCACAGGGTGTTCTTTAGGTAAAAGGAAAATGATGCAAGATAGTGGCTCTGAGATATAGAAGAAATAAAGAGAAAAGAATAATACATGTATAGATAAATCTAAATGATAATGACTATAATTTCTCATAAGGCTCGTAAAAGAAAAAAATGAAAGTACATGACAGTATTGTGTAAGTAAGAGGTGGATAAATGAGGTTTGAGAATTTTAAAGTCCTTGCATTGGCCTGGAAGACGAAAAAGCACCACTGTTTAGTCAAAGATAGGTCATAATCTCTAGGAAAGAGTTAACTGTTAAATAGAAAATGAAATATATACTTATTAAATCAAGAGAAAAGAAACAAAGAATAAAAATAATCCAAAATAGAAAATGAAATGTGTACTTATTAAATCAAGAGAAAAGAAACAAAGAATAAAAATAATCCAAAAAAAGCAATAACTAAGATTAAAAAAGAAAGAAAGAACTAATGGAACATGTAAAAGAAGTAAGATGGAGGGAAGGACACTAACTCTACATCAAGGAGGACAAAGCAGGATTATCTCAGTATCCTACCAACCAAAGAAAGTTGAGATTTCTTACAGCCTGAGTGTCATAGAGAACTCTCCAGTTTATCACAGTGGCTTAAATACTGTTTTTTAATGACTAGCTGTATGGATGCACCAGGTAAGGTGGTTTTACTGTTATTAGATAAATGTAAAAGTAGCCCTTGGAATGGGCTGTAACACAGGCAAATACATAAGTACAGTCATGTGGGCATGGCTTCTCTCTCCCACACACAGGCCTCAGATGCAAGCAACATATGATGAACACTTATTATAGGGATAAATTTATCAACTGACTCTGACAGGGGAAAATGTCATATTCCTGTGTGTTGGTTTTTCGTTTTTGTTTTTTTTTAGTTCAGAAGCTTCCTACTTTCTCAACTGTCTACCTTTTCACTCCTCCAAGATGTCTTTTATAGAAACTTAATAGGCTACTACCCACTCCAGTACTCTTGCCTGGAAAATCCCATAGACGGAGAAGCCTGGTGGGCTGCAGTCCGTGGGGTCGCTAGGAGTCGGACGTGACTGAGCGACTTCACTTTCACTTTTCACTTTCATGCATTGGAGAAGACAATGGCAACCCACTCCAGTGTTCTTGCCTGGAGAATCCCAGGGATGGGGGAGCCTGGTGGGCTGCCGTCTATGGGGTCGCACAGAGTCGGACACGACTGAAGCGACTTAGGAGCAGCAGCAACAGACTACCATCTCCTTACAGGCTACTGAGTTTTATAATGTCCTCCTGTCACCACCAAGGATTCTTTCAGCTCAACAATTTCAGTTGCTTTAATTGTAGAGTATTTTTTGAATAGTGATCTGACCACCTGTTAGACTTGTGAAGAAGAGAAATTCTGGTTGATCAAAGAAGAGAATCCTCCTGATTGTGGTAGATGGGCTAAGAAGAAAAAACAATTTTAGGAAAACCTGTAAATAAACTCATTTCTAATAATTCTAGAACATGCCACAGTTTCAATCAACTCTAAGTCATCTCTTCAAGTTCTGCCTAGCTCAAGGTGATATGCAGAGCGGGGTAGAGATAAGTGGCATATTTTAGAGTGAGTGCTCGAGCTCCTGTCTCTTATCCCAGTCTCTCCTCATCAGCCTCTTCTGATCCTGTAACTATTAATACTAGGTACCTCTTATATGCCAGGCACTTTACACACATTATGTCTCATCCTAATAACACCTCTATTTTATGGTTTCCGTAAAATCAAGAATTAAGTAAATTGCCTAAGGCCAAACAGTAGGTGACACAGGTGAGATCCAAGGTCTGCTGACAGCACCTCCTCCTGTAGGATGCTCTGCGTTAATTTTCTCTGGGAACCCGAGAAATCCCCGGGATGACTTCTGTGTTAACGAGACAGCAGGAGCAAGGAGCCTCAGGTGACCCCGCTGCCTGCTTGGGAAGAAGGGAAGCCGTGTTTATGGAGTGTGTTCTGTTTCAGGCTCAGTGCTCGCTGCTTTCAGCTTCTTAGTTCGTTCATTCCTCACAGTGACCTAGTCAGGGGGGTGTTTTATCCTCCTGTTACCATATGAGGAAACTGCGGCTTAGAGAAGAGAGAAAGTGTCCAGGGTGACATAACTAGTAAGACAGGAAGCTCTGAGTTTGAATCCCACTGGCTTCAAAGCTATGAGAACATGTCGCTCCCTGTTTTAGATTTTTCCTTTAGGAAGGAGTGTGGCGCGAGGTTAATGAAAAGGGACAAGAGAACCACACAGAGGATTCCCGTGAGCGTGAGGTTTAGAGACACTTGAGTCCAGGATCAGAAGAAGATGCCAGGAGATGACACTGGAGACTGGACCCTGGTCCTGAGGATGTAGCCACAGGCGAGACTCCACCTCTCTGGGCATCGGTTTCTTACTGGAAACGGAGTGGAGGAGAAGCGGTTTTGAATCTGGCGATGTTTAAAGCCCCCTCCAGCCCTAAAGTTCTGTGCCTCTGTTAAGAATGTACCAACTGCATTATCCTCCGAAGAGCTTAATGCAATGTTTTTGGGCGGCCCTGCCCTGTTCTCAGTGTCCCTAGAGATGGGTGGGTTCGGTGCCCCCCGGGCAGCAGACCCCGGGATGCAGAAGCAGCGGGAGGCGACCTAGGGGTCTTTCGTGTCCCTCAGCTGCCCCATCATTGGTGAGCATGTCCAAACTGTCCCCCGCAAGGCTTCAAAAAGAAAACTGCATGGAAGGAGTGTGACCGTCACTCTGGAGGGCTCGAGTGGCCCGCCAGGCGAGGCTTTCGGAACACCCAGCGGTACCAGGCTGGTCGCGGGGCTTATCGGCCGCAGCTGGCTCGGCGGGCCCGGGGCTGGCGGCTCGCCCGGGGTGGGCGGCAGCGGAGGGCGGCGCTCCGGGCACCCTTTCCCACGGGGTGTGCGGAGCGAGCCTGGCGGCTGGAGCGCCTCCTCTGCCCGGGGCCGTCGCCCCGGCGGCTTCAAGAGGCAGGCGTCGCTGGGGCCGGACACACTCGGGGTGGGGTGGGGGCGGAGGGCTGGAGCGAGCAAAGTCCCAGGCGGCCGCAGCCCCAGCGCCCAGCGGATCGGCCAGACAGGCGCCGTCCCCGGTGAGGGAAGCTCGGGAAGGTGGGCTCCGGGAGGGGGCAGCGTGCCATCCGCGCGGTCCTCCCGGGTCCCCGCGACCAGTCTGCTGGCCCCGATCCCCCGGCAGGGTGGGGAGGGGGGTGTTGTGAGGCTGGGCGACCTCCCCAAGCTGGGGCTGGTGCCCTTGGGCCTGAGACTGGTTTCTCCCCAGGCTGAGATGGATCCAGAGGTGGGAAGGATCGCAACATTCCGGATTACCGAGACGAGGGAGGATGGATTTGAACTGGGCGTCAGCAGGTACATCACCCTCGGCCACCGCTTTTCTGCTTTTCTCCTTACATGCGAGTCAGCAGAGCCACATGTAGCCAAGCAAAGAAGTTGAGTTGATGATGCCTTTGGCCTTTGTTTTGGAGTTTCCCTAGAATCTTTTCTGTGGTTCTGACTTTACCCAAGGAATGTCACTGAGGCTTCTTTTGTGACAGGCTGGCTTTCCTGGTGGCTCAGTGGTAAAGTATCCCTCAGAGACTCGGGTTGGGAAGATCCCCTTGAGACGGGTAAGGCAACCCACTCCTTATTCTTCTCCGGAGAATCCCCATGGACAGAAGAGCCTGGTGGGCTACAGTCCGCTGGGTGGCGAAGAGTCAGACAGGACTTAGCCAGTAAACAACAATAGGAAAGAGAGCATGGATTTGAGAGTGCCCTCTTCTCTTTGTGCAGGGCCCTTCGATGAACCCGTGTGGTGTAACATTCCCTGCATTATGTAGCTCACAACTTTTCCAGAAAACTTTCATAAACATCGTCTGATCTTCTGGGCTTAAAGAGCATCAGACATCTGCTGTTGATGGTTGTGCTTTTTAACCGAGTGCAGTGAAGCAGGCAGCTCCTTCCTTCCACTCCTTATTCCCCTTCCTCCTCATTTTACCCACCTTCCTCTCGGCTCTCAGGTTCCCTCTTCCTCCCCTCTGGGGGGTGAGGGCTGAGGTGGGGAGGGGAATCTTGGGCAGCGTGGGGCGGGTTACCTGCGCTTACGCAAAGAAATCGTTGCTCCGATGCAGGGGGAGCCTCTCGCCTTTCTCTGCTTGCTGTCTCTCTCCCTCTGCTGGCTCTGTGGCTCCCGAGGGCCCTTGTCACTCACTTCTCCATGGGGCATAAGCAATCAGTAAGTGGCATGCTGTCGTTGTCCCTCTTTCACTCTGAGGATAGTGAATCATTTTCTCCTTCAGCCTCAAAATGTATGAGGCTGTTGAGGTCTCTGAGTTCATGCCAAGCCACCCAGAACTAATTGACTGGTGTCATCCAGTGATCACCCAGAGGGACAAACTTATCAGGTTCTGTAGTGGGTCCTCAAGCTGCAAGTGGCCTGATTAGTTAGCAGAGAACATGCCTATCTGGTGGTTAAACCGGGGCATTATTTTAGTCTGTTAATTTCTTCATGCAATGATCTTCCTTTATTTTTTCTACATACCATGGTATTAATTCACAAAATATCTAGTTTGCCCTATAAAACTGGAAAACCCATGGATGGTATGTTTTCTTCTTGAAAAATGTGGTTTTCATTCGCTGGCAATTTAGGCTGGAATTGAGTGTGAATCTATAAATAGATGGCATTTTCTCGAAGAAGTCTATTTCTGTGTTGCACTGGCTAAACCTTGGTGACTGTACAGAGGGGTTACCCCTGCAAAAGATGCGGTGACAAAACAGAACCCAAGGAAGTTCTCAGAAGTGGAGCTCACAGCCTTGTGTTGGGAAGAAGACAGTGCAAAGAGTACAGAAGACTAAGAAAAAGTTGATTATGAAATTAAGTGTAATGAGACACATTTTTATAAAAAATAGTCCAAAACTTGTGTGTTAAAGGAAGTTCAGTTCACTTCAGTTGTCTAGGGAAAATTGAGAGTTACATGGTTGTTCCAATCATGCAGTTTTGCCGGTCACATTCTTGTGAACATATTTCATTGCAGATGTCAATCCTTTGATTTTAGAAAATGTTCCAGATAATTTGGTATCAAGTCCTGTGAATAAAACTTTACCTGGAAATTTAAATAAATGCATTTAGGCAAAAAGAGTCTGCCCTCCTAGAGTTAGCATTTATTTATTGTTGAGGATAGATGTAAACAACACATATGCTGAACATGTAATTGCTAAAATCCTGCAAGTAGTCTTTATATGCCATGGAATTAAAGCCCAAGATACATAAAAGAAAAATATTATATCCAATTCCATCTTCCTGCCTAAGGGGAGAACCAGATTGTGTTTCATTCTATACCCAAGACTGAGGAAGCAACAGTGTTTCCAACCTAAAACCAAATTAATAGCCTATGGCTTCTGAGACAAATTATCACCAAAGGGCATCAGATATCCCAGACCAGGGGCACTCTTGGGCTTTAAGTAATATAAAGTTACATCTATGCAAATATGTGGTCATTTGTGAAAAAGAAGCATCCATAAACTCTTTTCCCAGGGCACTTAGTCCTGCAAACAATTGTTAGCAGGTAATGAATGATATGGGAACACGTTAATTAAGGCTAAAGAAATCAGGAGCGCAAAAAAGCTATTTTAAATAGAGTAGTTAAGGTCGGTCATATTGAGAAGGCAATATTTAAGCAAGAACTTGAAAAAAAAAATGAGAGAGCTGTGTGGCATATATGTACCACTCCCGGCCGAGGTAATGCAGACCTTGCAGGGGGAACGTGTTTGGCGTGTTCACAGGACAGCAGCAGCAGAGAGACCTAGGTGACTGGAGCAGAGCCAGCAGGAGTGGGAGTGGGCGCTGTGCTCAGAGAGGTACCAGAGGAATATCATGTGGGGCCCTAGAGGCCAACGTAAGGATTTGGCTTTTACTCTGAGAAAAGCGGATGCCACATGTAAGTCTTGGAGCAGAGTAGCAGCATAGTGTGACCTGAGGGTTTTTTTAATTTATTGAAGTGTAGTTGATTTACATTGTTGTGTTAATTTCTGCTATACAGCAAAATGATCAGCTATACATATCTGTGTACATATTTGCACACACATTCTTTCTCACGCTCTTTTCCATTATGACTTATTACAGGACATTGAATGTAGCTCCCTGTGCTCTTCAGTAGGACCCTGCTGTTCATCCATCTTATATGTAATAGCTGGCACCTGCTAATCCCAAACTCCCAATCCGTCCCTCACCTCTTCCTCCTCTTTAGCAAGCATGTGGCCTGTGTTTCTAGATGATGACTCTGAGTATAGTGTTGTGAAGTGGGCATAAGTGGATGTGGAGAAACAAGGCAGGAGTTCTTCTGGGTATTAGGATACTTATGAAAGTGGTGAAGAGTGATTGAACTCTAGATGTATTTTGAATGTAGAGCCGACAGGATTTCCTGACACCACTCCCTATGATCATTCAGAAGAGGGGCCTTTACTAATTTTAGATCAATATGTACCTTTTTAGCACATGAAGAATTAACTGATCTTGCAGACATTGTTGACATGGTCATCTTCCTTCTGTGCATGCATGCTGCAAGGCAGGTGACCATTCCCCGGTTATCCGGAGATTCCTATAGCACCTTGGACAGTTACCTTTGCACTTGGTTATTGCCTTACACCGTATGTTAAACTGGATAATTCTGACAGTTTGTGGACATCACTCTTTTACATTTGAAAATATAATATTCAAATATGGTAACTATTAAATTTATATTCAGTTAACTGTGAAACATGTTGTGACAGTTTTTAAATTCAGTTGTATATTTTTTTTACAGCAGCCAAGCTAAGGAAAAAACGAAGAAAGTAAATTTGATTGGACCATTAACATTGGTAAGCTGTGAAATATTAAGTTTAAATCAGTTCTGCCTTCATTTAAGTTTGATGTCTTGGATCCGTAGTGAGAAGTACTTTAAGACTGTCTGCAGGCAGTGATAGATGTCCTGGATTGGCTCATTGTATTTAATGGCCCACATTCTCAAGGTGGATGATAAAACAGGTAGGGATAGGTTGGCTGGGAGAGCAGAGCTAACTGGTGTACAGGGAAACTGAAGTTAGGACTGGTGTTTGAAGCACCATACAAACCAATTAATTTCATAAAAATACATCTCTGCACTTGTTTCACACACACACACACACACACAAACACAAATTTACCTTAAAATAAACTTGCATATAAGGAGATTGTTAACTATAGAAAATTGTAAATGTTTAAGAAATCTATGTTCACATTGGCCTCCAGGAAAATTGATTAAATATGAAGTTACTATTACAGATTCAGATATATTTATGACAATTCTCAGTGGTTTTCCACTGGTTCAGGGCAAGCCAACATAGTTTTGGAAGAAGTCAAATCTGTTTTTCATTTGTAATATGTCTTAGAGAGGGGACCCAAGAAAATGTTTACCCACTTTTGGTGAATAAGAGATGTTTCAAACTATGACAGCCTTTATTTGATAGCCAAGAAGCTGGTAAAAAAAAAAAAAAAAAAAGCATGTCATCTGAAATCTCCAACTTACTAAGTTTCCTTCTCTTCTCCCTTATGCTTGTGACTTTTGTGTTTAGAAATCTCAGTAAGGGTAACATTTTTTCAATTCAGTACTTTAGAGAATAAATTATTTGTAAAACTAAATCTGGTTTTAATGCAAAGGTTTTAAATCTGCATCTTACAGAAAACAAAATGTCACAAACCTTAAAGTAGAAACAGAAATTTTCATTTGAATTTGGAAGTTTAACCTTAAATATAAACGTGATCTTTTTCACTGTCTTAATAGATTTTTTTGCTGCTGTTCTGAGTGAGGTTCAGATAAAACTGCATTTTAATAGGAGTTAGAAAGGCATTTGGGCTTCTCTGGTGGCTCAGATGGTGAAGAATCTACCTGCAAAGTGATCTGGGTTCGATCCCTGGGTTGGGAAGATCCCCTGGAGTAGGGCATGGAGTAACCCACTCCAGTGTTCTTGCCTGGAGAATCCCCATGGACAGAGGAGCCTGGCGGGCTACAGTCCATGGGATACAGCACAAAACACAAAGGCATTCTTTTGTTGAAAAATCACTGAAAACAGATCTAGGTTACTTAGGATATTACTGTGAAATTCCTGGAATTTTCACTGGAGCTTGGTGACAATAAGATTTTGTTTCATTAATATGAGAAACTTTTTAATTGAGGTGCAGTGAATATATTACATTACATGAGTTTCAAATGTGCTATGAAAAGCCTTTAAAACTTTCTTCAGTTTCATGTGGAGAAGGAAATGGCAACCCACTCCAGTATTCTTGCCTGGAGAATCCCGTAGACAGAGGAGCCTGGTGAGCTGCCGTCTGTGGGGTTGCACAGAGTCGGACACGACTGAAGCGACTTAGCAGCAGCAGTTTCACATAAATGTTCGGTGAAGACGACGTTGCATGTCACCTTGTTCCTAAGCTTGAGCTGTGGCCCAGAAACTCAAGAGCTCCATCTCCCTTTCCCTCCGGCCACTAAGGTGAACCTTGGGGACACTGGTCCCTTTTGTGGCAGTTTTAGCCCCGCCCCCGCCCCCACCCTGCTCTGGACTTTACCTGCCCGCCTTGTTTCATTCCAAGCTCCACCTGGCTTCCTACCCTTTGTCTCTCTCAACACTCTCGCTTGCCCTCTGTGTTTAATGATGGAATTTGGTCTCCCAGATCGAACTTCTGGAAATCCCTGAGAACAGTTGGCACACCGCCCCCCCACCCACTTTGTGCTTTAACCTCAGGGTGCCCCTGCATAGTGACGCCCTCTGACTCAGCCTCCATTCTCAAGGGCCCCACTCTGCCCAGCCTGACTCATCACCCATTCTCTTGATGACTGTTCCTTCTTTGTCCCCCAAAGGGAGTGGGGTGGGGAAATGGGCAGAGATAAGGGTTAAAAAGATGAGAGAGGTATGGGGGACAGAGGGGAAAGTACAGAAATGGAAAATTAAGAGATGGGAGATGTAGTCTGGAGGGCAGAGGACGAAAGAAGAACAAAGAGAGAGGCATAGATTCAGTCAATCAGAAATGGGGAGAAAAAGTGGGAATTTGGAGAGAACTAAAAAAGGTGGTGAAGGACAAAGGGTTTTGGAGTATTATGACACTGATCGGCTGGTTAGTTCTTGGGTCTTGTGCACTTTACTGGTATACCCACTTCCCTCTATAAGTGATAAGTGAAGGCTGCTCAGTCGTGTCTGACTCTTTGCAACACCATGGACTATTCAGTCCATGGAATTCTCCAGGCCAGAATACTGAAGTGGGTAGTCTTACTCTTCTCCAGGGGATCTTCCCTACCCAGGGATCAAACCGAGGTCTCCCACGTTGCAGGCAGATTCTTTACCAGCTGGGCCAGCAGGGAAGTCCTCTACCAACGGTGCTAAATCCGAGATAGTTGGTGTGGCCACCAGGCCTCTTAGACCCCGCTCTAATATCGTCCTCCGTGCTCTGTACTGTGTGCTTAGAAATTCCACCACGTGGGGTTCCCCGAGGACTCATGTAGTTGCCAGTCACCCTGCTGTTCTAAGCCCCCACGTCCCCCACTTTCTCTGTACTCCCCAGTTCTTCAGCTAATTCCCCCTTGTCCTTCAAGATTCTGCAATGAGGATCATCTCCATAAGCAAGACTTCCCTAGAGCACACACCCAGGCACTCCTTAAGTTTCTTGCCCTTCACTATTGATCTGTCTTCCAAAAGCTAACTTAAGCCTGTTAAAGGGGCCTTATCCGCAAAACCCAGAATATCTGTTCCCCCTCTGCCCTTTATAATTCTCCCTCTGAAATATTCTGAATGTCTTTTTAAAGGATGTATTATGTGTGTGTATGTAAATGACATCAACCCCTAGCTATTTCTAATTCACTACCTCAGGAGCTCTGGAAGATCAAACAGTATTTCTTAATGAAACCAAATCTTAGTCCCTTCTGATTATATTGCAATCACTTATCCAAATAAGACACTGATTAAGTGAAATTAGAATTTTTTCCACACAGATACAAAATAAATAGAATCTCGAAATTACTCTGTCAATGATTTGAATTGAAATTCTCTTTCTTCCCTTACATATTTATTTGGAATGGTTACAAAAGTACTGACCTTAAAGAGGAATCCAAAGAACATATATTGTGAAAAAAGAGAAATTCTGTCATACAAGCTAAGTATTCTTATCTTTTCTTTCTTTCTTTCTTTTTTTTAGTTTCGATACTCTGATTGGCAGGATAAATTATTTATGTCTTTTGGCACTATCATGGCCATAACTCATGGATCAGGTCTGCCCCTCATGATGATAGTATTTGGAGAAATGACTGACAGATTTGTTAATACTGGAGGAAATTTCTCCCTTCCAGGTAAGCATTTCTTTAATTAAGATATGTAGACATATAGATGTATTCATTTAATTAACTGAGTGAAAGATTAGAAATTGACTTTTCTATTCATCATCTACTTGCTTCATCGTTTGGACATTTGGGTAGCTTCAGATATCACAGAAGGAGTTTTAAAATTCTCAGTAAAATTCCTCAAATAATCAGTTAAATTTCAACAAATAAGTGTGTGCTATTGGACTTTAAGTATAGAATAGGGAAATTTCCAGAAAGCTTGTATTTCAATAAAGTAAGGAAGTCAGTCTGCTTGAGGATGGTGGAACCATAGCAGAGCATGTCTATACAGTGTCCATTCAATTAATGGCTATTGATGAGCTTCAAAATGCATCAGTTAGCATGGCAATACTTCTTAGCTGTCCTCAGCTTGCAGGTCTGTTTCTGATTTTTTTTTTTATTCCCCTCCCCCTCCCCCTTTCTCCCATCCTTCTTTCTAAAATTACACCTACTTTCTATCTCTAATATTTGGATCAACAAGGTTGACTGTTCCTTAACAAAACACTTTACTAAAGAGTGAATGGATTCAGTATGAGAATGATGTGCTTTGAAACTCACCCAAAGGACTAAAATTATTGAAGTGTAAAAGGAGTCACATAAGTTAATGCCATCTATATGAGGGTGAGCATTGGAGTGAGGTTCCAATGGACAAAGTTAGTTTCATATTAGACAGAAAGGAAGATATCCGTGCTTTCTACCGAGCACGATGGCTCAGTCCCTCCCTAGAGACCTGTGGGCACTGGGTGAAGAACACCGAGGGAAGCTCTCCTGGCACACAGATGCGGGAATATAAAGGAAACAGCTAATAAAGGAGAGGCAGCTTTCATAGTAAAGACACCTGAGAAACAGTATACTGTATTTAGATGACACTCAGAAAGAGTTTTCAGTGTTCACTGTTGAGAACTACATGTTTGGTTAGCATTGTAGGGCTTAGATGTAATTACCTAAGAACATGATTACTTAATTTATACAATAGGATCTCTTTACATAAATATTGATGAATATTAATCCCTTTTAGATGTCTAGTAGAAGCATCATTTGAATAGTTAAAGCACACTCCTACAAAAGCAGTTTATTTATTCTCTAGTACTACTGTGTCTGAGAAGAACCTCTTTGTAACAAAAATAATAGAAATCTTTCATAGTGTGGATCATGTGCCAGGTCTTCTTCTCAGTGACACATGAAGACAGCTGAGGCTTGGAGAGAAGAAATAACCTCCCAAAGTACACAGTGTTAGGGCGGAATTCAGACTCAGGTCTTTCCACCACCCATACCATGCTCATGGCTATATACATGATACTGCCAATGCAAGTAACTGTACATTCTCCTTTAGAAATTGTGTCTGGGAAAGTTTTAACTGGATTACTTGTTTTTGACCAGTGGCCAAAACTTTAACACAAATACTGTAAAGAGTAAAATAGGATAGCTTAAAAAGTCTTTAAGGAAATTAGGAATTTTTAATTCATTTTCCTTTTACTTCTTATAAAAGGATTTATAGATGTATAATACACACACACAGAACAGGAGGAGGCCCATATTAGAATATATCAATCAAAACTGGTTTCAATTTAGGATTTTAAAAAATCAGATGAATGACTGGATAAACAAAAGTTTTTACATACATACAGTGGAGTGTTAAAAAGCCTTAAAAAGGAAGGAAATTTTGACACCTGCTGCAACATGGATGAATCTTGAGGACATTATGCTAAGTGAAAGAAGACAAATATCATATTATTCTGCTTATAGGAAGTGTCTAGACTAGCCAAATTCATAGAAACAGAAAAGAAGCTGGGGGTGGAGGATAAGGAAATGGGGAGTTGTTTAACGGGCATAGTTTCAGTTCGGGAAGCTGAAAAAGTTCTGGAGATTGATTTGACCATAGTGTAAATATATTTCGCACTACTTAACTATGCACTTAAAATGGTTAAGATGGTAATGTATATTTTATCACAGTTAATTTTTTTAAAATTGGATGTAATGTACTTATCCCAGGGAAGCTGACCTTTGGTCCAGTTGTATTAGTCCCGTTTTTTTTTGCTAACACCAGAGTAATTCCACAGCTTTCTTATTTGGAGCAGTCTGCTTATTTTTAATGTGTTTCTAATTATGCAACCGAATTGCTTTGAAGCTGGAATGGCAGGCAGGTGCCACGTACTGTGCCCAGGGCCAAATTCAAGGTCTTTCTGGGGAATGGCACTCGCCAGCCGCCTGCAGACCTGTGACTGCAAGAGCGATACACTCACCAGAGTGCCAGCGCAGTTTCAGTGACCTCCGAATTAAATGACACTTGGCTCTCCACAGCCACGTTTGTCATCAGGCAGCTTGATTGTCTTGGAGGGTTTGGAATGAGAAGTCCCTCAGATGTTATTAATGCCAGTGTCCACTCTCTTGGTTTGCACAAATAATATTCCCATGGCTCTTTGGAGAAAATGAATTGCTACATTTCATGCTCGCTCTGAATCCAGAGAGCTCATTGACATGTTTAGGTTTGTAGAGTTTAGCCAAGGTCATGGGGGCTGAGAGACGATGGAGTCCTCAGGTGTCCTTAGCTGAGCTTGCTAGGTCGTCTCACCGAGACGATGTTGGTTTATAGTCTATTCTTTAGAACTGGATTTTTGGACAGCAAGACTCAATGGGAGCCAAATGAGACGAGAATGTTAGAAGAAAAAAAGAAAAGGTTTAAATTACAAGAGGGTCTAGCAATGAGTTATTGTGAACAGAGTCCATCCTTGTCAGCAGAGTGAAGTCTCCATGACAAGGTTGTTCCCTCACAATGACTCAGTTGTACAGAAATTATGTGTAAAACATTCCACATCCAAACCTTAAGAATGGAGTCACAGGAGACAGGGTTTCTACAGAGTATTAGGAACTTGATATTTTATGCCAAGTCTGTGTGTCTGTAATAATGTAGGAGGTTGTGTGGGGAAATTGACACACCCTGCGTGCCTTTGCATTGCCACATAGATGAAAGGCAAAGACATTTTTGAGCCCCAGTTACCTTGATTTATTACCCATACTGCTAAAACTGCCTGGACATCCACCAATTCTGTCTTGTGCTGAGTGTTTCTATGTAATATTAATAAGAGAGGTCCTGGACTGAATCAAGGGAGGCAGACATCGATTTACTTTGAGACTCAAAGTGAGTCAGCACTCCTTATTTAATGTCTCTCTGAGTGCTCTTTATGGTATACATTTATTATTTAGGCCTCTACCTGAATTTGGGGCAAATTACTTAACCTCTGTAATCCCTACTGTTATCACCTTTGAAAGGTAGGCTTGCTGATAGGCTTAAATGAGATGACTTATGTCAAGTGTCTGGAGCATAAATATTGAGAGGAAACTGGCTGTAAGAACTTGGAAATGCAACAACCACTCTTAGATTCTGTTTCCTCATCTGTAAAATGTATGGAGTACATGGGAGCTCTCTAAAATGAAAAGGCAGCTTTAGAATTTCCCATTTCTTTGCTATGGGAGGCATTTAGGCAGAATAGAGAAGGAGCTCTCCATCCTGGTACATTAAAGTCAATTGGAAGAAATTTTTAGATTATGATCTAGACTCAGCTAGAGTTCTGATTTAGCTGGTCTTGGATGGAGCCTCAGTTCAGTTGCTCAGCCATATCTGACTCTTTGCGACCCCATGGACTGCAGCACACCAGGCCTCCCTGTCCATCACCAACTCCTAGAGTTTACTCAAACTCACGTCCATCAAGTCGGTGATGCCATCCAGCCATCTCATCTTCTGTTGTCCCCATTGGACATTTGTATTTTTTTCCATCTACCCTACTTGATTCTAACAGGCAGACAGTGCTGCAAACCACTCAACCAGATAACTGCTTGAAGATTGTTTATGAAGCTGAAGCCTAATATATAGCGTCTGGGAAGACCAGGTAGCGGCCTTCTCCAGATCAAATCCTGTGAGATTTCCAGATCTAGCATTCTAGATTTCATCTCATGACTCTTCAAGGAACACATTCATACACATTTGTAACACCTTGGTCCTCTGGCAGCAGAAACTTGGTTTCCTAGGGGCTTTAGGGCTTCTAAGGTTACTCACCCAGAATTAGATTGCCATTCTTGGCCTGGGGCTCTGAGACAGGAGCAGGTCAAGTTTGTAATGTTTGTAGATTCTTACTTGCTAGGAGGGAAGCTCAATTTGAGTTATAATATTGGTGTTGGAGGAGAGAAAAAGTCATTTTAGGATTTCACCTGCTTTCTAAGTTCAGGGGTAAATAGCCCTGAAAATAGTATGCATAATCTGCAGGTTTCCTGTGGTTTCAAACAATGTTTCTGCACATACTTCGGCTTTCACATAGCTTATCTGCCTCTCATTCCAAACACAGTTCCAACATAGGTATCAAAGGTGCCAGATTTATGAACTCAGGAAGCAAATGAACACACAGAAGTGAATGGATGAAAACAAGTAAAATGGAGTCTGCTTTCTTAAGGACCCTAGTAGCTGATAAAGAGCTAGGTTAATAAGCAGAAACACTTTGCTATGAACATCTATAGAAAGAACAATCCTGAGGGAGAAATTATGCCACCATCAGGGCTACAGGCCTGGTAATTGATCCTGGTGGTAGGTTAAGTTTAAAATAAATTTCTACCTCATCTCCCTTTGGAAGAAGATAAGAGTGATAATACAGCACCCAGAAAATGTGACCTCAGGGCTATTTACACATGATAAAGGAACAAAGCCTAGTTTCTCCCCTAGCATCATGGTAAATGTGTTTTCCCAACAGTGCTGGGGTAACATTTTATCCTGTTACTCTGTGAATGCAGTAGGTATGGGCTGTTTTCTTTTTATTTTTTACTTTGTGTTTGTTAAAGAAGTGAAAATAAGTCATTACCACGTGAATCAGTCGGTGTAGTGTAGTGTCCGGTGCTGTATGAGATAGTGTTAGGACTCTCAGCCTGCTTACTATAATAACTGAGTGACTGGGTAAGTTACTTTATATCCCTGTGTTTCAGTTTCCTCATCTGTAAAATAGGAATTTATGATAGAACCCTACCTGTATAGTCCTATCTATAGAATTGTGAAAATTAAACCATGTAATGCATGTATAGTATTCAGAACAATGCCCAGCATATAATAAATGCTCACTGGATCCTAGCTGTTACTAAAACATGTGAACCAGAAAAGGCACATTGACATTTTTATCAAAATTAGTTCAGAGTAAAAGACCATTTCCTTCCAGTTAATACTGCTTTAAAAACACCAATTTACAGGACTGCTAACAACCAAGACAAGGAATCACCAGGGATCCACTGACTTGTCTTTGAGCAGCTCAATGATCTTTCTTGTCTTTAATTTTTCTCCCTTTGCCATGAATGTAATTCAGACTTTCCATTATTTATGTTGTGAGGAAGCATGTAAGGGAAACACACACATATAGTAAAGCAGAATCAAAAGGAGCAAGTATCTGTAAAGTGCTTTGCACCACTAAGAAAAAAGTGCCTGTTAAGTCCTGTGTTTCTATGTGGACCATCTCTTTTTTCTTCCTCTGCCTTCTGTATGCCCTTCATCAGCTCCTCTCTGCTGCTCTAGGAAGCTGTGTTGCTAAAGGCCCAAGGCCTCTGGTAGGGGGGCAGTACCTGCTTGCGGGGGGGGGGGGCGACTTTACTTCCCCAACTGGAGCCCCGATGCACCTAAACCCGAGGGCCCTTTACATGGGCCAGATGGAAAGAATGACTTGAGAGTGACAGGGGAAGAGAAAAAAGATTTTAAAAACCTAGCAGTGCCTTTCAAAAATGTCTTATTTTTATTTTGTTTTTATTTAGTGAATTTTTCACTGGCAATGCTAAATCCAGGCAGAATTCTGGAAGAAGAAATGACTAGGTAATTGGCTAATATTTGTATATATCATATGTACTTCTTTATATTGTACTTTTAAAAACCATTTCATTTGAAAATAATTTCAACCTTATGAAGAGGTATAAGCATGTACAAGGAATCGCTGTATACTTTTTAGCTTTTGTTAGACTCTTTATCCTATTGTTTCCATTTATACCTCTCCCCTGCCATTTAAGTAAGGTACACAGGAGACTTCCCTGGTGGTCCAGTGGTTAAGACTCTGTCCTCCCAATGCAGGAGGGCTGGGCTTGACCCCTGGTCAAGGAAATAGATCCCATGTGCTATTACGAAGACCCAGGGCAGCCAAATGAATAAATTTTTTTTTTTTTAAGTAAGTTGCCCAGAGCATGGTCCTTTACTCATAAATACTTCAGATTGGTTCCCAGAACAGGGCATTCTCTTCATAACCACAGTACAGCTATCAACCTCAGTACATTTAATATTGATACAATACTTAGACCTGGTCTATCATCTGAATTCCAGTTTTGTCTGTTGATCTAATAATGTCATTTAGGCATTTTTTTTTCCCTTTCTTCTGCCTTTTTTTTTTCTTTTTTCTTTTTTTTTTCTTCTTCAGCCTTCTTAATAGAAATCCCCAAAGCCTGTCACATAATGTTTGTATGTTGACTTTTCAATTAATGTTGCTGACTTAAATGAGTACTGTCTGTAGCCGTAGCGGCCTGAAAGGAAAATATATTTGAGAGTAATGAAATTGAATTTATTTCTAAAGATACTAACTTCCCTCTAATTTAGTTAAGACTACACTCTGAGTTGATTTGAATTCATAACATTTTAGCATTGGTTTTAAAAAATCTTTCAACTTCTGCCAATCAGGAAGAGGGTTTTTTGTTCTTTGTGTAAACAATATGGGAAAAGCTTACACTAAGAGCCATTTTGCATGTTCAGCCTATTTATTCCTGTATTTGCAATGTGGTGAAGCTTTTCAGAACAGTAAGATGCAAGTCTAGAATGTGAATTATGGAAGAGTCAAATTGTGTCTACAAATTATCAATATAAGTTTAAAAATGATTTATGAACACCACTGTATGTTTGCAGTTAACCACACAACTTTATTTTACCTTTGGCTAATAATTCAAGTGGATAGATTGGCCACTGTTCTATTATAATAAAAGAAAAGAGAAAAAACATGTGTATGTGTTATAATGTCCTACATGGTATTTGAGATCTGTCAGTAAATTTATTAATTTCCAATTCTGAATATTTCTCTCCCAAAAATAAAGACTCTATTTAAAAGAAACTTTTGAATTGTTTTCCAGATATGCATATTATTATTCAGGATTAGGTGCTGGAGTTCTTGTTGCTGCCTATATACAGGTTTCATTTTGGACTTTGGCAGCTGGCCGACAGATTAAGAAAATTAGACAAGAGTTTTTTCATGCTATTCTACGACAGGAAATAGGCTGGTTTGACATCAGTGACATCACTGAACTCAATACACGGCTAACAGAGTAAGTATATTGTTACCTACACATCCGTAAAGAAATTAACTACTAGCTATGTGCAAATTTGTCAAGGGAAGATTCTAAATGAAAAAAAAAGTTTGCTCACTTAAACATTTGGTGTGTACTGGGAATAGATGATCTGATAGCCATCTCTAGCACTTAGAGCCTATGCCACAGTACATCTTCCTTACCTGTTAGGTTTGGGGTTTTTGCCTCAGTTACATAAGTAGGTGTATTTGTGGACTGAGCTCACATGCTTTGGGGCTTCCTGGTGGCTCAGACAGTAAAGAATCTGCCTGCAAATGCAGGAGACCTGGGTTCAATCCCTGGGTTGGGAAGATCCCCTGGAGAAGGAGATGGCAACCCACTCTAATATTGTTGCCTGGACAAAACACTCTCCGACATAAATCACAGCAGGATCCTCTATGACCCACATCCCAGAATTTTAGAAATAAAAGCAAAAATAAACAAATGGGACCTAATGAAACTTAAAAGCTTTTGCACAACAAAGGAAACTATAAACAAGGTGAAAAGACAGCCCTCAGATTGGGAGAAAATAATAGCAAACAAAGCAACAGACAAAGGATTAATCTCAAAAATATACAAGCAACTCCTCCAGCTCAACTCCAGAAAAATAAATGACCCAATCAAAAAATGGGCCAAAGAACTAAACAGACATTTCTCCAAGGAAGACATACAGATGGCTAACAAACACATGAAAAGATGCTCAACATCACTCATTATCAGAGAAATGCAAATCAAAACCACAATGAGGTACCATTACACACCAGTCAGGATGGCTGCTATCCAAAAGTCTACAAGCAATAAATGCTGGAGAGGGTGTGGAGAAAAGGGAACCCTCTTACACTGTTGGTGGGAATGCAAATTAGTACAGCCACTATGGAAAACAGTGTGGAGATTTCTTAAAAAGCTGGAAATAGAACTGCCATATGACCCAGCAATCTCACTTCTGGGCATACACACCGAGGAAACCAGATCTGAAAGAGACACGTGCACCCCAATGTTCATCGCAGCACTATTTATAATAGCCAGGACATGGAAGCAACCTAGATGCCCATCAGCAGACGAATGGATGAGGAAGCTGTGGTACATATACACCATGGAATATTACTCAGCCATTAAAAAGAATTCATTTGAATCAGTTCTAATGAGATGGATGAAACTGGAGCCCATTATACAGAGCGAAGTAAGCCAGAAAGATAAAGACCATTACAGTATACTAACACATATATATGGAATTTAGAAAGATGGTAACGATAACCCTATATGCAAAACAGAAAAAGAGACTCCGATGTATAGAACAGACTTGTGGACTCTGGGAGAAGGCGAGGGTGGGATGTTTCAAGAGAACAGCATCGAAACACATATATTATCTAGGGTGAAACAGTTCACCAGCCCAGGTTGGGTGCATGAGACAAGTGCTCGGGCCTGGTGCACTGGGAAGACCCAGAGGGATCGGGTGGAGAGGGAGGTGGGAGGGGGGACCGGGATAGGGAATACATGTAAAAAAAAAAAAGATACACTATGGTTGTGATAAAAACAATAAATTAATTAATTTAAAAAAAAAAGAATACTGGAAAAAAAAAAATAATGTGCTCCATCTAAAGCAGCACATCTTTTGTGCTTTCAATCTCTTATTTGTACACTCGATACCCCCAAAAATGTGTAAAAAACAAAAAGAGAACAGCATCGAAACACGTATATTATCTAGGGTGAAACAGATCACCAGCCCAGGTTGGGTGCATGAGACAAGTGCTCGGGCCTGGTGCACTGGGAAGACCCAGAGGGATCAGGTGGAGAGGGAGGTGGGAGGGGGGACTGGGATGGGGAATACATGTAAATCCATGGCTAATTCATTTCAATGTATGACAAAACCCACTGCAATGATGTAAAGTAATTAGCCTCCAACTAATAAAAATAAATGAAAAAAAAAATATTCTTGTCTGGAGAATTCCATGGACAGAGGAGCCTAGCAGGATACAGTCCATGGGGTCACAAAGAGTCGGATGCGACTAACACACACACTCACATCCTTTACTTACTTCTCTCCCATGGAGCTTATCACAGCCCTGACAGATATTAAGATGGCGCTCCGGTAAGATGGATGAATGAGTGAATCAGGGATTGAATGAATTCATAAAGAGACTTCTCTTAGTTCTTGTTGACTGTTCACTTATTCAACAAACAATTGAGGGCTTGTTAAACACTGTTCTAGATGTTTGTGGTTTAACAGTGAATGAGGCAAAAATCTCTGGCCTCTTGTTGCTTATGTTCCAGCAGGGGGTGATAGATGATTAGCGTTTTCTGGCTGGAGATTCTGCCGAGAGGGTAGTGAGCAAATGTGCAGGAGGAAGGAGGATCAGGGCATTTAGGGCCTGGCTGGCCTCCATAGGGCCCTCAGGTCTGCCACTGGACATTTTTGACCTGAGGAGTAGCATGTTCAGACTTCCATTTCCAAAGGATCACTGGCTCCTGTACTGAGAACAGAGTGGGTTAACAGAAGCACCACCGGTAGAAGGAAGGAGCACTTCCTTATTCCTACTTTCAAACAAAATTGAGACATATGTTCAAAATGCTAATCCTGCTCTAATAGGATTAACTAACTGAGCAGCATCGACTTTCAATGATACTGACTTCCCAGAAGCGTGAACTAATCCTGAATTTCTTCCTTTGTACAGTTTTTAGGTGGGGAAAGTGTCGTTCAAGAGGCTAAGACTGTGAGAGGGGCTTGCGGGCATCTGAATGAGCTTTGCCTGTGTCTGTGTTGGTTAGATGTTTGCTTCGCCTTTCTGACTGAAGACCTGTAACCACTTAGGTGTGATCTTTTTTAGTGACATCTCCAAAATCAGTGAAGGAATTGGTGACAAGGTTGGAATGTTCTTTCAAGCAATAGCCACGTTTTTTGCAGGATTCATAGTGGGGTTTATCAGAGGATGGAAGCTCACTCTTGTGATAATGGCCATCAGCCCTATCCTGGGACTCTCTACAGCTGTTTGGGCAAAGGTATGTGAAACATGGGCATGACCATGTGTGTTAACTGACACAGACAGAGTTATCTTCAAGATGCAGGATTCTGGTTACTTGTTGTACAGATCTATGTTAAATGTCACTCAAAATGCATGCAGAAGCATGTTGTTAATATGGTGCTTTAATAGGGAAGAGTATTTTTAATGTGATTCAAAATGTCAGATACAGGACTTCCCTAGTGGTCCAGTAGTTGAGACTCCGAGTTTCTAATGCAAGGGATGTGGGTGTAATCCCTGGCCGGGGAACTAAGATCCCACATGCTGCATAGCCAAAAAACCAAAACATCACAGTTATTACCTCAATTACAGTTTTTGCACTCTTATTTTTTTTTTTACTTTTTTTAAAATCAATAAAATATTATTTATTATTTTTGTTTTTTTAATGATTATTTATTTGGCTGTGTCAGGTCTTAGTTGTGGCACATGGGATTTTTGTTGTGCTGCATGGGTTTCTCCAGTTGTGGTGCATGGACTTTTTATAGTTGTGGAGAGTAGGCTCAGTTGCTCAGTGGTATGTGAGATCTTAGTTCCCTGATGAGGGGTTGAACTTGTGTTCCCTGCATGGGAAGACAGATTCTTAACCTCTGGACCATCAGGGAAGTCCCTGCACTGTTGTTATTACCTTGGGTAAATCCCCTGGCATAGTAATTTAAAATACATAAATCGTTATGTCCCTATTTAAAGAAACATAATTTAAAAGTTACATCACTCAGTTAGTCACTCAGTCGTGTCTGATTCTTTGCGACCCCATGGACTGCAGCCTGCCAGGCTCCTCTGTCCTTGGGATTTTCCAGGCAAGAATACTGGTGAGTTGCCATTCCCTTCTCCAGGGGATTTTCCTGATCCAGGGATCAAGCCTGGGTCTCTTGCATTGCAGACAGATTCTTTACCACCTGAGCCACCAGGGAAACCCAATTTAAAAATATAACATAACTTCAACTTATTGCATGACTATAAAACATTTAACTAAGTTTGGATTTGCCGTTTAATTGTGATGGTTACATGGCACTCTGCCAATTTGCCTTGCAGTAAAATCCACATAACCTGTTGCATTTCAGCCAACATTTCAGGGTTGAGAAATTTTACTGGCAATTTTTGCTCATTTTGGGGTTGATGATTTACTTAATAGACAACTGGCGTCTCTTGTGTTTCGATTCTTCCTTTAGCTTTCTCCTGCAGCATCTTGTTTAGCCATCTTATAATTCAGTAGACTATCCATGAGTAGGTCTGGAAATGTGGTTTTCAAAGTGATTAAAAATCATTACACAATAATCATAAGGATGATGAATCCTTTCCGAGCAGTAAGATTTTAGTTTAGTTTAGTTTGTAATCAATAGAGAAAAAAACGGTAGTAGATGTGGAACTCAACACTATTACCAAAAACACTATCTAGTGAATTATATGTGCCTTTCCTTTTCCTCACTCTGTTACTGAATCAAGTCTGGCTGCTTGAAAAAAAATCATTACTTGCAAAAGCTGGTAGAATGGAAAGTTGCTTTTAATCAGAATGCTGGCAATCTGGGAGAGATGGTGGACTCAGTGTCCACCAAAAACCATCTCCAAAAATTCTGTCCACTCATGAAATATTTTAAAGGGGCAAAGGAAAGCATCTCAGTTAATCATCGTGACAGAGGGTCAGAGTTGACAGTACTGTGAGCAGGCCTGTCAACTTCTTGTGATTTTTCTTTAAATGCTATCCCTTTACACAGTTTATTCATGAGATTACTGAAGGGGAAACTAGGGAAGAGACCTGGCCATTTGTTAATGACTTATTCTTTATTTCTACATCTTTGATCCATGAAAAGAACCAACAAGTTAGGTGAAGTATTGTGTGATCAAAAGATTTGAAAGGGGGACTTCCCTGGTGGTCCAGTGGCTAAGACTCTGCCTTCCACAGGGGGTGTCAATTCAATCCCTGGTCGGGGAACTAAGGTCCTACATATGGCCAAAAATTTAAAAAAAAAAAAAATTGTGCTAGGGCTGGAGACAAGCAGAACATGGGGCTGCTTGGTTTAAGGTTAGTGGCATGACAGAGGGAGAGAGAGAAGTCAATAGAAAATAGTAGTAGATGTGGAGAGTTTTTTTCTGCCCAGAGCTGCCTACAACTTCCCTGGGGAAGAGTTCCTCAAGGCAGATCACACCCAGCCGTTGCAGGGGAATGGAAGAAGCTGTGGGATGTGCTACACTGAGTGATGTTTGCTTCACATCCACAGCGTCTGGTAAAGGACAGGATTTGGGAAGAAAAAGTAAGTTGAAGAGTTGATCAGAGTGTCTTTTAACTTTTTCCCCTATTTGAAAGTCATCTGTTTCTCTTCTTTCCAGATACTCTCAGCGTTTAGTGACAAAGAACTGGCTGCATATGCAAAAGCAGGTGCCGTGGCGGAAGAAGCTCTGGGGGCCATCAGGACTGTGATCGCTTTTGGGGGCCAGAAGAGAGAGCTGGAGAGGTCAGGAAGGTCCTTTGTCCACTGGCTCAAAGAGCTCGCTTCTATTACATTTGATTACTTATTCTTTTGTGGTATGAGGGCTACAGTCCATATGATTGCAAAGAGTCGGACACAACTGAAGACACTTTTAGCACGCAGGCATGCACACGTGTCTACTGCTTTCCTTTGCCTAATACAAACCCCTTACCCACAAAACATAGACACCCTTTATTGATGGCTGGAGTTTGTCAGATTTTACAGCAGGGTTCTGGCTTTTTTTGGCTACGCTGGTGGCTCAGATGGTAAAGAATCCACCTGCAATGTGGGAGACCTGGGTTTGATCCCTGGGTTGGGAAGATCCCCTGGAGGAGGGCATGGCAACCCACTCCAGTATCTTTACCTGGAGAATCCCATGGATGGAGGAGCCTGGTGGGCTACAGTCCATGGGATGGCAAAGAGTTGGACATGAGTGAGCGACTAACACTTTCACTTTCTGAACTTTTTATGTTCCATGGACTTCTTTGAAAGTCTGATGAAGCCTATGGACTCCTTCTTAGAATAATGATGTTAAATGCATAAACAAAATATGTAGGCTTACAGGAAACCAATTATAGTGAGGCACAGCCATCAAAACATTCTTTAAATTGTGATACAATAAATCCATGTCTGTATTTTTAACCTATTGAATATCAAGAACTAACTATAGGTCTAATACCTACTGTAATTCAAAGTAGCTCTGTGGGTAAAATGTATTTCAAGATATCTGTAAAAAGTGGAACATGATATGAAAATGATCTGCGATTTCTATTGGCAGCACAGTCACAGTTACTGCTAACACTACAGAGGCTTGTTACCTGCACTGATAATCAAAGGAAATGCTGAATTTTGGTTAGGGGCTAGCAAAATTAAAAGTGTAAAATTTTCCCTGGTCAAATTCCTTAACCAGAGATTCCAGGTCAACTACCTCTGCTCTAAGGGGAGTTGATGGACAAAAATGTATGGGCCAGAACATACTCCCCCTAATAAAGGCTACTCAACTCTCCAGCCAGTTTTCTTTAAATAATAACATACCCTAATATAACTGAAGTATGACTCCATGTAAAATATGTTCTTTTGCCATTCTGCAGGGCTCCTGATACCCCCAACTCTATGAAAGAGAAATTCTCAGAATATTCTCTAGCCTTGAAAGCAAAGGTCCCCACTCCCCTCTTTTTCATTTTCTGTTTTTCTATTCCTTAAGTCCTCTTGACAGCCAACCTGTGCCTGGTTCTCTAACCGCTTCCTTTTTCTCTCACTGCTGTTTCCTGCACACAATAGCCCACACACCTCAGGATGTGAGTGTAATCAGTGCCGCTCCATTAGCTGCAAAAGGCGAACCATCTAAGCAAAGGTAATTACAGCATGTCCATCACTGTCCCCGGAACCCATGTCACGGGGGCTGATGTAAACCTCCCTGCCCGCACCTTGCAGCCAGGCCCCCTGGGATTCAGCACAGCCCTGGGCGTGGGGTGCCAGCTGTCTCCCCAGGGACAAAGCTCTGCTAAGTCAGTGCACAGCCCAGCACTGAGGAAAGAACACTGGAGAGTCAGGTGCTTTCAGTAATTAAAAGACATAATTTTGGGTGGCAGGATCCATTTTTTAAAAAATGAATAAATTCTCAGCATCTTATTTGGTTAAACTAAAAAAGATATGATGTTGCTTGTTTTTGTTACAAACATTCTAATGGATGTGATATTTTCCCTAAAGTGTCACTGTACATCCAGTGGATTTTTTCTTTTCTGACTTTAAGGAGCCAAAATTAAATTTTATACACTCTCTGCATCTATCATGGAATGACAGGCTTAACTGAAATTGATGGAAAAAACATTGTTATTTAACAGAACTGTTCTAGACATGTGTACCTTCATGTCAAATCCCAGAAGCCAGTAATAGTGGATTTTACTTAATATTTAAAATTATGGTAATAGTAGAATGAGTGGTATTTAGGAAGAGATTAAATTCTAAAACAATGGAAATAATAATAATAATAGGATTTATCAGATTGTCCCAACTGTGTGCCAGCACTGTTCTAACAACTTTCTGACATTGTCTGTCCATCTCGCACCATCTGGCAAGGTGGGCATCAGTACCTCCACTTTGTAATGCCATTTGCAACCTTGTGCATGGACCGAGAGCCTGTCATCCTACGTGAAGTAAACCAGACAAAGACAGATATCCTATGACAATATGGAGCCTAAAAAATGATATAAATGAACTTATTTCAAAACAGAAACAGAATCATAGACATAGAAAACAGACCTATGGTTACCAAAGGGAAAAGGAGGGGAGGGGGAAATTAGGAGTTTAGGATTAACGTACACTCACTACTCTGTATAAAATAGGTCAGCAACAAGGACCTACTTATAGCACAGGGAACTGTACTCAATATATTGTAATAATCTGTAAGGTAAAAGAATCTGAAAAATGTGTGTGTGTGTGTGTGTAGCTGCATCCCTTTGTACATCTGAAACTAACACAACACTGTAAATCAACTATACTTCAATTTTTTAAAAGTAATTCCATTTTACAAGTGATGAAACTAAAATCTAAAAAAGTTGAGTCAGAAACTATATCCCATAAGTAGTGACCTCTTTGTACCCTGTACCCTGACTTAATCAAAAACAGAACAAAACAGAAACCAAAGCGGAGCAAGAAAGCAAAGGCTGGAGGATAAGCCCGCAAACAGGTAGAATCCCATCCCTTCCCCAGTGGGGTCAAGCTTCCCTGGTAGCTCAGATGGTAAAGAATCCGCCTGCAATGCAGGAGCCCCAGGTTCAATCCCTGGGTCAGGAAGCTCCCCTGGAGGAGGAAATGGCAACCCACTCCAGTATTCTTGCCTGGAGAATCCCATGGACAGAGGAGCCTGGTGGGCTGCAGTCCGTGGGATCGCGAAGAGTCAGACAGGACTGAGTGACTCACACTTTCCCTTTCACCCAGTGGGACAGCCGAGAAAACAAAGTAGCCTGTCCTGAGAATGTAACTGCTTTAAGAGTCCCACACAGTGTTTACAGTTTACATTTTGGTGTCACTCCTGGTGGGTGTGGTTTCTCTTCTTCCTCCCTAACCTTGACTTGTGATGCCGGCCATGAAGGTTGATGGTGAGGTTCTCCCAGGGTTGGGCGTTCAGCCCTGGATCAGCTATGGGAACATTGGTGGGACTGGCGGGGACTGAGGGAGATGGGTCCAGGCCAGTAGAGAAAAGGCTCAGATGGGTTGTGGTCCAGGCTGACCCTGCACTGGTTCAATTCCCGGGTAGCTGGGTATCTCCACGGGTTTCTTGGTTGATGGTTTTTGTCCCTTAAACCTCTAGCTGTCCAGGAGGGGAATATAGCTAAGATTATGGATTCTTATTATCATATTTCCCCCTTCATTTCCGGGTAGGTATCAGAAACATCTAGAAAATGCCAAAAGGATTGGAATTAAAAAAGCTATTTCAGCGAACATTTCTATGGGCACTGCCTTCCTGCTAATATATGCATCGTATGCACTGGCCTTCTGGTATGGATCCACTCTAGTTATAGCCAAAGAATACACTATTGGAAATGCAATTACAGTAAGTCATTTTATCTGAAAATATTGTTTATCTATCTACCTCTTCTTTCATTTTCCTCCTTTTTGAAGGATGAACCATGGTTCTAACCTTTTTACTTGTGGCAAATCTTTGCTCAGTCCTGTGGGCAGAGCTGGCCTTCTAGAATACACAGAGTGTAACATGTGGTTAAGCCAATTGAGAAACATATGGAGCGTATAAAGAAAGATGGAAAGAATTTAGGAATGAACAAATATCAATTGGCACCATCCTCATTGTGCCTGTGATTTTCATTATATAAGAAAGTAAAAAAAAAAATAAGAAAGTAAACATTATACATAGGTCTAGTATGAAAGAACATTTAATTTATATCATATTGGCTATCCAAATACAAGATGAAAAGTGATTTTAGTTTTTTTTCTTCTATAAAATGAAAATAAGTACACTTTATGATTAGAAAAATTATACATACTAGTTATACAAAAGGTTAGAATACTTTTAAAAATTAGAAATTACTTACAATTAGAATTACTTATGATCTAAAAATCCGTATACACTTAATGATAACTTTTGGTGTATATCTTCCAGATTATTTTCTGTATATGGGTTTTTTTCTCTTGAAACCTAAATTGTATTATGCATATCTTTTTGTAAATTTTTTTATAAACTAGCAAGATATTGTGACCTTCTTTTCATATCAGTGATGGTGAGGACAACATGTAACCATTCAACTAGCCATGTTTTAAAGCCTGCACTTCCCTGTCTTTCTAAACAGAGGACATGGAACACAGTTTGACCCCTTGATGATGACTTACAGGCATTAAGAAAATGTATCATTTCAGAATGTTCTCTAGAGTGGTACCTTCAGACTCCCCTTGAAGTGTTGAGGGCTGTTTGGCTGGATGAGGTTTCATCACTGCTGAGTCTGTTTTTTTCTCATGTTGGTTGGTCCCCTCTCCTTGTCAGCTTGGAAGCACTCCACCTCTCTTTACTTCCTCATTTGCTAAATTTTGCAAAGCAGGGAGATTGAGCCCTGACTCTGGCATTCATCCTCTCTGGCCTGGTCTCCCCATTTGTTGGGTGTAGACAGTGACTTCTCCCAAACAGGAGGGCAGAGTGATCCCATGATGCAGGGAGCCCAGTGATGCCATCTTCATAAAGACCAAGGATCGAGTGTGTTAACTTTATGGCATTGCTTCTGGTAGGGACATTGTTTTGCTCTCTTGCTGGTCTTTCTCTGTATTGCAGATAGTAGATAGATATTTGAGTCCTGGTATGTTAAGTGTTATTGTTTCTGTCATCTTCTGAGAAAGCCAGACTATAAGTAGATGCTTCACCATGCCCAGAGAGAAGGGAGTCATTTCTCTTCATTTATGTTTTTCTCAGTTAATGTATGCTAATAACCTGGATTTCTGAAACTACAGTCTTGACTTTTCTGTATCAATTTGTTTTCCTAGTGAAAAAAAAACAGAAATGTGTTAAGTTTGTGTGCTATAGTACAGACTAATTGTGTAAAGGAATTATTAACTAATGCACACAGATGTGATTTATAATGCGTGAACTGTTACTTTTCAATGTTAAAAAATCTTATTAAAATGTATGTGTGTGTGTATATATATATGTGTATATATATATATATATGTGTGTGTATATATATATATATATATATATATATAAATAACATGGCACTTTTTAAGGAAACTTATATGGGGCCAAAATCTACTTGTTTCATCTTGAACATTCTGTGTAATTCCATGCATAGTTAGAGAAAATAATTTAGTACTGAATAATGCTGACGGAAAATGTTTTCCTCTGGTAGCAATGGCTTCAGAATCAAGGCAACAGGTTTGAAAAATCTTTCTGATTTTGTCTAAGCCCAGGAGAAGAACAACCAATAGTTTGACAAGATAGATGAAAAAATATTTTTGAGGTTGAAGAAAGCCATTTGTGCAACAAAATTCTGTAGTAACCTTGTAAATTTTGCTCTTGTGCTGAAAAAAATTTTCAAGGGATAGACCTAATCTTGATCCTTCGGGTAGCCTGTGTTCCGAACATTCTGTTTGAGGTGACAGTGGACACTGGGATGGGACAGGTAACTTTTCCTTGTGCTCTTTTGCTCAGGTCTTTTTCTCAATTCTGATTGGAGCCTTCAGCATTGGACAGGCGGCTCCCTGTATTGATGCTTTTGCCAATGCAAGAGGAGCAGCATATGCGATCTTTGCTATTATTGATAATGTGAGTCATTTATTATTTTTAATGCTGAAAATTTGTTTGAGGCCTGGATAATTAAATCTGGCCTTATGTTAAATGTCCTGTAAAAATTAATTGACATGAAAACCTCTGCTTATTAATGAGTAAAACCAAATGCCTCTTTTGAATATTTGTGGAAGTTTGAAAAAATACGTCTTTTTCAAGGTTAATTATTTGCATTATATTCTGAGTCTGAGAACTCACAGGATCCCAAGATCAGTAATCAAAACCAGCTCTAAATGATGAGGAAACTTTTTCTGGTTAAGCCTAGACTTGACTATTTGTAACATTCACACTGGTTCCAAATTAAAGAATCAATACAAAATAATAATAAATAATAGAAATGGGATTTCAAGTGAGGAATAAATGAGGTTAGGAGTGCTTATTACTGTCCCTGCCTCAAGTTAGGGTTTAATAAATTTAAGTTTTGAGTTAGCCAATTGGGGAATAAAAGGCAGAATGTGCTAAGAACTTTTATAAAGGAGAACGGATTTTTTTTTTTAAAGAATTCTCTCTCCAATAAACTTTATTTTAAAGAAAAAATATTTCTGAATGCTTATCTTTAATCAAATAGCACTTATCTCATTTGGGAAAGTGCATCTGAACTAATGTGTTATTGTTAGAGGTCAAAGCAAAGATGTTTGTCTTCCTAGTTTTTCTCCTTTGCTCTTTGATTTTGTAGCCAGACTGAGAATATTATGCTTTGTAGACAGGATGAGTGGATGGAAAAATGATTGGTGGGACCAAAATTGATAGTATGTTTTGCTGTGGGTTGCCCTCTCTCTCTCAAAAAAAAAAATGATCACTGTATATATGATATAATTTTGAATCAATTGTATTGCATAAGTTATCCTGACTGAAGTGAAATAAAGAAAATCATTTTGACACATTAAAGGTGGTCTCTGCATTTATACAGAGAAAATGCTAGCTAGCTAACTGAAATGTAATTGTCTAGTCCAAGCAATTCCTGTTTCATCAGTCTAAGTCATGAGAAAATTGTTCAGCTTCTGCATATATTGAAAATTTACATCATTCCAAACTAACTTGTCCCTAACCAATTGTTCAACTTCTCAATCCAGTCCACACACTTATTGTTTAGAAATAAGCTAATTTTCACTAAATGCTGAGATACCTGAATATATCAATTATAGTATATTTTCTAATTGCAGTCATAGGAATGTACATTTAGAAAATTTATGAGGATATGCCAGAAACTTAAAGTGCAATATCATATGAAATGAAAAGAATATATCCCCTATGTACTTTTTAAGAAAAACCTATTTTCAGAGAAGGAATACTTCCTTAAACACATAAACACAAACATACATACACACGCAAGCACACACACACACACATATACAGTCTTCACCTTGGGTTCTGACTCACATGAAGGGAATTATGGTTTTTTGGGTCCTGATTTTGGAATTGCTGAAGCATATTCCTTAAAAATGCTATGATGGAATAGCTGTTGAATTTTGTTTTGTTTAGGACCCTAAAATTGACAGTTTTTCAGAGAGAGGACACAAACCAGACAACATCAAAGGGAATTTGGAGTTCAAAGATGTTCATTTCTCTTATCCTGCTCGGCCGGATGTCAAGGTATTATAAGTTATATTTATAGGGATTCCTAATTTAGATTGATTGTTTAATCATCTTCAGGAATCCACAGTCTCTGTTATTTTGATATGTATGTACCTTTTCTTTGGGGGTTATATTCCCTTATTTAATACTATTTTCCCCAATTTTAAAATTGAGTCAATAGCTTCTCTTTCAGGCTTTTGATGTGAAGTGTACTCTTTTTCTCTTTCCCTTAAAGATCTTGAAGGGCCTCAACCTGAGGGTAGAGAGCGGGCAGACGGTGGCCCTGGTTGGGAACAGCGGCTGTGGGAAGAGCACAGTGGTCCAGCTGGTACAGAGGCTCTATGACCCTGACGTGGGGAGGGTAAGTGGGGAGAGCCCCGCTCTTCAGAATGGGAGGCTGGGTGTCAAATAGCCCTTAGAAAATTTTTTGTGGTAACATATTTGCATGTGAATCCAATTTTGGTTAAAAAAAAAAAAGGCTATAGAATTGCAGTGCATCTGGATAAGACCTTCAAACCTTGGGCTATTTTGGAAAAACGTAGTCAAGATGATAAAACTCAAAGAAGCTAGTCAGTACTCTCCTCTGTTCCAACTAAGCTTTTCATAATCCACTCTGTCACTGGAAAACAGTCATCCAAACCACTGAGAGGATTATTTTCAGTGACTTTCTGAGTTTGGTTTAAAATGTTCCACATTAGTAATTGTCAATAAGCTTGTGTTCAGGGTCACAGGAATCTTAGGACAGTAATTAAATTCATCAAAGACAGTTGAGTTTTCTTCAGTGTTGGAATATCTGAAAGAGAAAGTGGAACAGTCTCCAAGAAACTGGGGACATGAGAAACAGTAATGGCCTAGGGTATAGTTTTTTGATCTTTTAAAATTTTTATTATAAATTCCAACTTACAGAAAAGTTGCAAGTAAGGAAGTCACATATACTCTTCACCCAGATTTATTGTTTTTATTTTGACCTACTTGCATTATTATCATTTCTTTCTTACTACATGTTTATGTGTATGTATAAAACACAACACAAACATACATACCGTTTTTTTTCTGAACCTTTGAAAGTAAGTTAAAGATATTATGCCCCTTGACCCTTACATACATTAGAATATAATTGCTTTTTTTTAATGTTATTGGATTATAGGTTGTTTTACAATATTGTGTTCGTTTCAGGCGTATAGCAAAGCAGAATGTATTTTCTGAGAGGACAACATTCTCTTACTTAATCACAAAACAATTATCAAAATCAGTAAATTCAACAGTAATATAATTGGGGCCCACAGCAAATATTCAAATTTCCTCAGTTGTACTGACTTGCGAACATTGAGTTTACGTGACATTGAAATGTATTATAATTATGAAAACAGAAGTTTACAAGTTACACAGAAAAACAAAAAAACACAAAAAGGCATTAATATAGGACAGAGATTCTAGGATACAGGAATCATTTACTTTCTTTAATAAAATTAACAAAAGTTCTTTGAAAAATCTGATACACCAAGTAGGAACATGGGCCCCTTCTCATTTCCTAAAGCAAACTCTAGGTTGGTTTAAGTATAAACAGTTTTTTACGTTTTTAAAAAAGAACCTAGTAAGTACTTACATTGAGATAAGCATTTGAAAACATCTTATTTAAAAATTACTATTGGAGTAATACATTTTTAAAAGAAAATACATGTCAGCAGGAAAAAAAAGTCTTCAGAAATTCTATAACTCAGAGATATTCACTGTTCACATTGTGATTTAAGTTTTCTTACTGCTGAAATAATGGAAAAAATGCCCAGTGATACAGTTGATTGATTCAATTTTCCCTTAAATATCTCTCCAATAAAAATCAGTAAAGCTATAGTTTAAGAAAGAAAGAAATTGGAATGAAAAATTTATGATATATGGTAAAACTATTATATTACTATTTTATAAATTAATATGAATCTATCAGAGGCATTGAACATGCATATCTTTTGAGGATAAATGTAGATTTGTAAAAAAGTTTCAAGAAATGCTCAATTTCACTTATATATGAATTAAATATAACCTATACCATACACTTATTAATTAGAAAAGACAGATTAATATGATAAAAGCTAGTAAATTACAGTGAAGCAAATGTATATATTCCTGCTGACACTATAAATTATTAAAAATCTTTTTAGAGAGTTTGTTCAACCTTTTTTTAGCAAATAATAAATACCCAACATGTGCCAGTCATTGTGAGTTAAGCAGTTATTATTGGAGAAGAAAAAATGAAACACACTCTTCAGTCTGGTCATTCTGTCCTTTTACTATGATTGTCCTTCAGTGTTCATTGCACGAAGCCAAATACTCAGCAGGTGGGAAATGCAGAAGTTCATTATGGTATTGATATATTAGGTAGAGTAAAACATCATAATGCCATCAAAGTGATATGTAGACTACGTAGGTAAATGGACATTTTAATTCAGATTTAATAACGGTAAGCAAAAATCATAGTTATGCCAAAATACATAACTCTATATATAATCATTTATGGAGAATATTCCATCCATGAAAAACAGTATACATAAGATAATAAAATCAAAAGAGAGAATAGACTTTATTTTTAGCCTTGCACATTGCTCTTTATTTCCAATTCCCATTTCTAGCCACGGAAATAAGTTAAATATCAGCTAAGGTTTTTTTTCTTTTTGTCTTGTCTGCAAACAGATTTTATTGAGCTATATTCTAAAAATAATATGTAAAGTTCTGATAAAGATTATTTAAAAGATGGTTTCCCCAATGTTGAAAACACCCCAATTAAAATAATAGATTCCAGTGTATAAATTGAATGGTAATAATTTAAATAAAAGATTAAAGCATTCAAGATACAGGATCTTTGTAAACACAGCAAGCAGAAATAGCTGATAATCCCACTAAGTGCCTCTTAAAAGAATAAAGATATAAATTACAGGTGCTGACTTTACTATTATGTGAGTGCTAGTGAGGAAACGTTATTAGCAGGACTTCCCTGGTGCTCCACTGGTGAGGACTCAGCACGTGACTGCAGTGGCCTGGGTTTGAGTCCCTGCTTGAGAACCAGGATCCCGCAAGCCAAGTGGCATGGCCAGAAAAAGGAAAAGAAACAATTTTATTAGCACCATTTTACTTACATGTCATGTGGTAAAATCATAAATAGCTCATCAGCTTGTATGGATCCAGTGGATTTATTGTTTTTTTTTTAATTGGCAGTTAATTCTTTACAGTGTTGTCTTGGTCTCTGCTCTACAACGTGAATCACATTTTAGCTAAGGCTTTTTTGGTGACAAATGCTTTCAACGTCAGATGGTTTAAAAGATTTAATGGAAGTGTCTTGTTTCTCCAGATTATCATCGATGGGCAGGATATTAGGACATTTAATGTAAAGTATCTGAGGGAAATAATTGGAGTGGTGAGTCAGGAGCCAGTGCTCTTTGCCACCACCATTGCTGAAAATATCCGTTACGGCCGTGGAAATGTCACCATGGATGAAATAAAGCAAGCTGTGAAGGAAGCCAACGCCTATGAGTTTATCATGAGATTACCACAGGTACAGCCTCTGTTCATTTAAGTGCCCTTGAACTTCACTCACGCCACCGAGTTCTTTCTTCAAAGCTTAAGCTAATAATGTTTGAGGTTCCAGGTTGTCCAACTTTGCTAGGTAAGTCCCTTGAATTATCCATTTGGAGGGTTAAGGAGTGTGGCTTGGTACAGTGACTCACAGGACATTTATACAGAGTTTGTGTTAGTAGTTTTTTAGAATGTGACATGATTTATTATGAGTTGTGACTCATTACGCTGGTCAAAATGAAACGCCCTGTTGTCTTCCATGAATCCCTAGACTCCATAGCTGCTTCTATTTGAAATCTTTCAGGAGCTCTACCACGCTTTCTGTTGTAGAAATTCGACACCCTGGTTGGAGAGAGAGGGGCCCAGCTGAGCGGTGGGCAGAAGCAGAGGATCGCCATCGCCCGGGCCCTGGTTCGCAACCCCAAGATCCTGCTGCTGGACGAGGCCACCTCAGCGCTGGACACGGAGAGCGAAGCCGAGGTTCAGGCGGCCCTGGATAAGGTGGGTGGCCCCTCCACCCCTGGAGGAGCAGCCCACTGGAACTCCACTGAAGTTCTCACCGGTGCTTTGCGAGCCTGGGCTGAAACCAGGAACACGAGCGCAGATGAAGCTCGCCCGTGGGGCTTTTGTTTTTAGCGTTTTATTTCATGCTGGAGTGCAGTTGATGAGCAATGTTGTGATAGTTTCAGGTGCAGAGCAGAGCACCTCAGCATTTCCAATCCGTGAATCCATTCTCCCCCAAACTCCCTCCCACCCAGGCTACATGACATTGAGCAGAGTTCCCTGTGCTGTTCAGGAGGTACTTGTTGGTTATCCATTTTAGATATAGCAGTGTGTACATGTCAGTGCCATGGGACTTTCTTGATTTCTCCTTTCTGTCAGGGCGCACTGCAGAGAGAGGTGGGCAGCCCATTTACTGGCTTGCTTTGTTGGACCAAGGTGTAGTTATCCCCCAGTCCAGGCCTGTGCAGTGAGCTGCTTAGCTTTGGGGGTTTTGTTTGGTTTTTTACACATAGGTTAGGACTTTGATCAAAAGTTCTTGCCGTAAAATGTACAAAGAAAATTCTGATTACTTACCCAGTGGTCTATCTGGAAAGCAGTTCAAAATACTTGCCTTATTTTGTAGCAGTACATCATCTTTCTCTGCTCATAAAAGTGAATGGGTGCTTCTCTGGAAATATTCGATTTGTGTGTTTCTTTAAGCATATAAATAAGGAACATATTTCAAGGCTGCTGAACTCATGGGCCTGGCTCAGTGTTTCTAAATCTCTCACTATCGTCTTTACTAAGCTGAAGCTTCACAGCATTAACCTTATCTTGGGACACTTTCAAGGTTAGTGCTGATGTCATCTGTCGTAACAACAAAGTGTAAAAACTAGTCAGATGACACTATGTAAATAGATTTCACACACATAAACATCATAAACATTTTTGACTTCAGAAAGTTTAGTGATAAAATGTGCAAGTTATTTAACAGTGTATCCAAATTGCCTCTTGAAATATTGTTTTTTTGAATTGACCTACTTTAATTTTCAGTTTTTATTGAAATATGTTGGTTTACAATGTTGCATTAGTTTCAGGTGTTCAGCAAAATGATTCAGTCATACATATATGTGTATGTATGTATATTATGTATTTTATATCTGAGATATGTCCTCTTGGAATTATACAGATGAGCTGTATGAACCTTATTTTCTCAGGAAAACTTATACTTGAATCCTAAGTAAACACAGCTGCCTTGTGTGCTGTAAGTAGTTAATTCAGGCTTCGTGGTTTATCATGTTAACATTTTGGCTTATTTTATATAATGTAATTTAATAATTAATGAGAGAATATGATAATTATTCCTCATAAATTTGTGTACTGAATTACATTGCTTTCATGTTTATTAAGTCTCAAGGAACCGAAGTATAATACATAGGGGATTTATATTTGGTTGGTTAATTAGAAGTGACTTAAACCAGGAAATCATGAAAACAAATACATGCATTCATTAAACAATCGATTTAAAACGTGTCAGTATAGCTTTTTTAGCATAGGGTTACGTGGGATAAGAGGTATTTAGGAAAAAGTCCCAGTCAGCCCTGGACCCAGGCCCCAAAGCTTTCTAGGAGGTGTGCATTCAGGGTGGCAGCCCTGGCTGTGCTAAACAAGCAGAATGACTGACAAGTCTGTTCATGATGTTGATTCTGTCAGCAAAAGTTGTATCCAATGCACGTTTTAATTCATATTTGGATACATTTCTTCTTTCAATTTTAGCAATTTGTGTTGGCAAACACAGAAGCTCTAAGGCCTCTTAAAGTCTATGCTTCGGACATTGAACAAGCATTCATTCCTTCACATCTTTTGCTTAAAACTAGTCACATGGCCTGCCCGAATTTGAGGAGGTGGAAAAATACAGTCCATCTCTGAAGGGAATAGCTGCAAAGAGTTTGTGGCCATTTTTTATCTACCGTAGTTGCTACAGATAGTTTCTAATCTACGGACTTGACTCCATACATTGCAAGATAACTGAAATATTTTTCAGACAATAAACTATGCCTTTAAGAGGGAAGTCCTTCATACTGCACTCTCCCCCAGTGATACTGGTCAGTCAGTTGGCTGGTCCATCTGGTTAAAAACCAACTTTCTTTTAACAATGAAAAGTTGAGTTTTGTAATTCTCTGTCCTGTGAGGAGCATAAGGATATAACACTATTACTGTTTCTCCTCTCTGATTACCTAGCCTGGAAGCATAATATTTTCCTTTTGTAGATCCTTTCTACATTTATCACCATCTCTTTTCTGGCACCATGTTATTGTAATTAGCTGTTTATTTATATGCTTTCTCTCTTTCTCTCTCCTAAGAGGCAGAACGAATAAATAGCTCATGTTTACTCTATAACACCTACTCTAGTACCTGCACATAGTAAAGCCTGAATAAATTTTTACTGAATTGATTACCATGGCGTAGCTCATTGAATAATACATTCTACATTAGAAAAAAATAATTAATGACCATATCTACTTTTGGCTCAATAGATAGCAACTGTTCTTCAAAATAAATAATAGGTTTTTCAATATAAAATCTTAAAGAAGAATAGAAAAGCAGACTTGATATTTTGATTTTTTTAAGAAAGTCAATAATCACAAAGTTTTGTACCTGTGTCCCTCTTCTACTCATAGTGTTTCCATACTGGAGGGGCAGGAAAAAGAATGAAAATAGTGATCTAATGAAATGATCCCTAAAAGTTTCCATTTATGCTTTTGCCCCAGAAGTCAGAAAGACTCATAGATTAGTCCTTCCTCTGTTTGGGCGTACCGTTCATTTCTGTGCTGTGTGCTGAATCACACAGCCGTGTCCAGCTCTTTGTGAGCCCAGGCACTGCAGCCTGCCAAGCTCCTCTGTCTGTGGGATTCTCCAGGCAAGGATACTGGAGTGGGCTGCCAAGCTCTCCTCCAGGGGATCTTCCCGACCCAGGGATCGAACCCAGGTTTCCTGCATCACAGTCAGATTCTTCACCATCAGAACCACCAGGGAAGCCCGCCTGCACATCCAACATTAGAAGTTTCAGATTTCTTCATAGTTGGTCTCCTTGAATCTGGGATACTTGTTTGCCAGTGTCTTTGTCATCGTGGGGGTGTTTGAAAATATTCTTTTGTGTCAAATCTCCTCTACTCTAGCCAAAATTCTTTGGTCAAGGGTGATGGTGGCTAACTTCGAAATTCACAAATACATACTTTGTTTCTCCTGCATACCGGTCATTTACTCACAAATCTGACTCCCAATTTCTTTGTTTTTATTTTTTTAAGTTGACGTAGCATTAATCTATTATTATCATGATGATAAACCCAGCCACTGTTAGCAGTTACTCATCACTATTAGTATCATGAATATAATTGGATTGATCAAATTATTTCCTATATACCTTATCATTCATGGACAAAGCTGTGCAACTTCCTTCTTAGTATATCAGTAAAGATCTGTGAAGGTTTCCTTTGGGGCCCCATTGCTAAAAATCAAAGAACAGTCTTAAATGTTTTCCAGTAGAGTTGTGCTCTCGTCTCTGTCTTTTGATGCTTTCATGTGTGTTAGTCACTCAGTTGTGTCTGACTCTGCAACCCCATCAATGGTAACCTGCCAGGCTCCTCTGTCCCTGGGATTCTCCAGGCAAGAATTCTGGAGTGGGTTGCCATTTCCTTTTCCAGGGAATCTTCCCGACCCAGTGATCAAACCTGGGTTTCCCCAATTACTGGCAGATTCTTTACCATCTGAGCTACCAGGCTCTTTTATATTTATTGAAACATAATTGATTGATTTATCTGGTTATTAGTATAAGGCCTGAAGAAAAAAACATTTTTTTCCAGGTGGCTACACAATTGACTCAGTACCATTAATCACATAGTCTACCTTTTCTCTACTGATAGACAATGCATATTTATCACACGCTAATTCTTAAAAATGTATTTCTATTCTGGACTTTCTATATGGTTCTGTTTATCAAATTGTTCATGTAATAGCTTCCTCTGGGTTTTATTGTTTTAATTGCTGTAGCTTTTTATGTTTTAGTGTCTAGTGGAGATATTACCCAGATACTTATTAACTTTTTCAGAATTTTTGTGGATGCTCTTTTTAAAAAGATTGATGAATCTTTTAAAAATATTATTATACCATGAAGTTCACCCTTTTTAAATGCACAGTTCATTGGTTTTTAGTATTAATATATTCACAAGATTTTGCAACCATCTGCATGATCTCACTGCAGAATATCTTCATCTTTCCAAAAAAAAAACAAACTCTTGTACCCCATAGTACTCACTCTATTCTACCCTCACCCTGGTGCTTGGCAACCACTAATCTTTCTCTTTCTCTGGATTTTCCCATTCTGGACATTTCCTATAAATAGAATCATACAAGGAATGGTCTGTTTAACTGACTTCTTTAACTAACTTTGCATCATATTTTCGAGGTCCATCCATATTGAAACATGTATCAGAATCTCATTTCTTTTCCTGGCCCAGTGCTATTCCATTGTATGGATATACTACCTTTTGTTTATCTTTTGATCAACTCAACACTTGGATTGTTCTCACTTTTTGGCTATTATGAATCTAGCTTCTCTTTTTTATGTTTTTAACTGCCTAGGTGATTTGGGCCACCCTAAATAACATCCTAACAACATGGTTTTATTGCCTCAGAGTAGGTAGGAGTGGTCTTAAGAAGTTATTAGTCTAATAGGGTAATGAATATTAAAAAGAATAACTATTGTTAATGACATAATGTGAATAATTTGATGGACATTTCCCAGGGTATAAATGCCTGTTCATAAACCCATCAAGCTAATGACATGTGAGTTCACTGAACTACTTAGGGGGTGATTTGTAGATTTCAGTATCCATAAAAAGCACCCAAAGTATTTGTTAAAAATCACAGTTACTGGCCCCACTCCAGAGTTTGTGACTGAAATGGTCTTTGAACCAGAATTTAAACCATCCAGATCTCAGGATATGTTTTTGCCTAAGGTGCCTGCACATAGTCCATCAGAATTACAATCACAGTAATTACAGAATTGCAGGCACTTCAGAAGAAATCATACTGAAGTGCTCTGGAGAAGGCCTTATGTGGCAACAACTTCTCCACGTGCTTCTGCTAAAGTCTTTAGCATATCATATAACTCAGAACCAGGGCTCCTCACAATGGTATGAAAACATTAGAGAAACTCCAGAGTTTTCCATTTTCATCCTGGGGGCCTGGCCTCTTGTCTGGTCCAGAATTTAAGTCACCTGTATCCATTCACGTGTGAGTGATGCCTTTGTGCCCTGATCACACAGGCATGGTGAGCTGCTGTCCCGTCAACCACAGACACCCCCATCTGCGTGCTTCATTGCGTGTTAATCAACAGTGCAAGGTCGGTGTAACCCTGCTGCCCTCCATGCCTGTCCTTCTCCCTCTAGGCCAGGGAAGGCCGGACCACCATAGTGATAGCGCACCGGCTGTCTACGATCCGAAATGCAGATGTCATCGCGGGGTTTGATGACGGAGTCGTTGTGGAGCAGGGAAGCCACAGGGAACTGATGACGAAGGAAGGGGTGTACTTCAGACTGGTAAGCACGCAGGTGTCTGCTGCTTGGGAAGTTTTCTGTGGCTTTTTCCTTAATATAGTATCTTTCTTTATTAAAATACCACATAGCTAATGCTGTACGGAGAAATCAGAAGTATCAGAAAGATGCCAAGGATACATCTGAGACTTTAATTCAGAGTCGTTGAAGGAATCTGGAAAGAGAAAGGTGGGAAGAAGGGGAAATAAAAGAAAATGCCAAAAACATTTTGAACTTCTTGTTTAGGATGGTGATTCTTAATTGCCTGTTCAAACTAATGGGTCCTTCCCCCAGTAGATTAGGGATGTTCAGAGTGGTGGTGGGGGTAAGAGACTGATGCTAGGATATGTGGCAGTTGGGAGAAGTCCTATGAGACCTTAAAATACTCCCCAGAATATCCTAATAAAGCCAATAGCAAGATTCATGACTCTTGGAAGTGAATAGTTCGGTGTTTTGTTTTTTGTTTTTGGCTTGAGAGATCTCAGTTCCCCGACTGGGGATCAAACCCTGCGCCCACAAGAGTGAAAGTGCCAAGTCTTAACCTCTGGGCCTCCAGGGAATTCCTGAGTTTGGTTTTCCTTTAAAACAACAACAACAATAACAACTATTCACTCTATTTCCTAAAGCAGTTTCTATTGATAATTATATTTGCCTTATTATTGAAATTAGTCACTTGAGCAATTTTGCAAAATAAATAACTGAAAAACATTTATCCTGTAAACACAATTCTTCTATTTGTAAAAGTTTATACATTTGCTTTGATAACTGTAACTAATATGTACATATTTTTGTTATTTTTTCTTCACATTTCAGATACACATCATCCAAATACTATCATTTTATATGTCCTCAGCAGTAACTACATTAATGTGTAATAAAATGCTCAATCATTTCTCTAAAGTTGAATACGTGACTTGTTTCTAGTAATTCTCTGTTCTAAATATTGCCCTTTGGGAGCACATGGCAGGGAGTAGGGTGAGGGTAGATTCCAAAAAAGTTAAGTCAAAAATTTGTTTTGTTTTCTGAGAAATAATTTAACTCCTCTGAGTCTCAGTTTCCACATTTGAAATACAAAACCTACCATGTGAGGCTGCTGCAAGGCTGAAAAATAAGCACCTAAACGTTTAGTTCAGTTCATTCGCTCAGTCGTGTCTGACTCTTTGCAACCCCATGAACTGCAGCGCGCCAGGCTTCCCTGTCTATCACCAACTCCTGGAGCTTATTCAAACTCATGTGCATTGAGTCAGTGATGCCATCCAACCATCTCATCCTCTGTTGTCTCCTTCTCCTCCCACCTTCAATCTTTCCCAGCATCAGGGTCTTTTCAGATGAGTCAGCTCTTCACATCAGGTAACCAAAGTATTGGAGTTTCAGCTTCAGCATCAGTCCTTCCAAAGTATATTCAGGGCTGATTTCCTTTAGGATAGACTGGTTGGATCTCCTTGCTGTCCAAGGGACTCTCAAGAGTCTTCTCCAACACCACAGTTCAAAGGCATCAATTCTTTGGCACTCAGCTTTCTTTTTAGTCCAACTGTCATATCCATACATGACTACTAGAAAAACTATAGCCTTGACTAGACAAACCTTTGTTAGCAAAGTAATGTCTCTGTTTGTAATATGCTGTCTAGGTTGGTCATAGCTTTTCTTCCAAGGAGCAAGCATCTTTTAATTTCATGGCTGCAGTCACCATCTGCACTGATTTTGGAGCTCCAAAAAATAAAGTCTCTCACTGTTTCCATTGTTTTCCCATCTTTTGCCATGAAATGATGGAACTAGATGCCATGATCTTAGTTTTCTGAATGTTGAGTTTTAAGCCAACTTTTTCACTCTCCTCTTTCACTAAGAGGCTTTTTAGTTCCTCTTCACTTTCTGCCATAAGGGTGGTGTCATCTTCATATCTGAGGTTATTGCTATATCTCCCAACAGTCTTGATTCCAGCTTGTGCTTCACCTAGCACAGCGTTTCTCATGATGTACTCCGCATATAAGTTAAATAAGCAGGGTGACAGTATACAGCTTTGATGTACTCCTTTCCCTATTTGGAGCCAGTCTGTTGTTCCATATCCTGTTCTAACTGTTGCTTCCTGACCTGCATACAGATTTCTCAGGAGGCAGTTTAGGTGGTCTGCTATTCCCATCTCTTTCAGAATTTTCCACAGTTTGTTGTGATCCACACAGTCAAAGGCTTTGGCATAGTCAATAAAGCAGAAATAGATGTTTTCTGGAACTCTCTTGCTTTTTCAATAATCCAAGGGATGTTGGCAATTTGATCTCTGGTTCCTCTGCCTTTTCTAAATCCAGCTTGAACATCTGGAAGTTCACGGTTCACATACTGTTGAAGCCTGGCTTGGAGAATTTTGAGCATTCCTTTACTAGCGTGTGAGATGAGTACAATCGTGCAGTAGTTTGAGCATTCTTTGGCATTGCCTTTCTTTGGGGTTGGAATGAAAACTGACCTTTTCCAGCCCTATGGCCACTGCTGAGTTTTCCAAATTTGCTGGCATATTGAGTGCAGCACTTTCACAGCATCATCTTTTAGGATTTAAAATAGTACAACTGGAATTCCATCACTTCCACTATTTTTGTTCATAGTGATGAGCCCCACCTGAATATACTATAAAAAGCACTTTAAAAGGGTGAATTTCATGGTATGTGAATTTTGTCTCAATAAAGCTGTTATTATTATTATTTTTTTTTTGAAAAGCACCTAACACAAAATAGATGCCTGACAAATGATAGTTACTGGTTCTAAACTTGAAGATTACATCCATCTGGACACACAACTCAACATTTTGTTCTTCTTCTAGATTTCAGGAAGCCAGATCCAGTCAGAAGAATTTAAAGTCACACTCGCTGATGAAAAGCCTGCCATGGGTTTGACTCATCCCATAGTTAGGCGTTCTCTTCATAAAAGCCTGAGGAGTTCACGACAGTATCAGAACGGCTTTGATGTGGAAACCAGTGAACTTGTAAGTTGTTTTTCAGTTATCTTTCATTGTTTAGTTTTGCTGGTGAAATCCGTAGCCTTGCAAGTATATTGTAGGCACAGAAGATTCCCACCGTGAGCCATACTCTTCTTAAAAGAAGGACAAATCCAATATTAACTGTACTTGTCAAAAATTGAAATCAATTCCAACTAACAATGGATTTTCAATGAAAAGGGATCCCAAAACATAGGCTGTGTGCTTAGATGCTTAAAATTAAAACGAGATGTTCCATTCATTTTTCAGATCCAGAGTAATACCAGGCTGGTCTAAAATAAGAGGCCCTAATATTTGCATGATCTATTATGTAGGATTATTTTGATTGTCTATACTAGGAAACCCAGAGTAATATCAATTTAAGAGAAGTAAGGTTTTATTTCTCTTTCACATTAAAACAAACAAACAAGAAAACTTAGAGGTGAGAAACCCAGGGTTACAATGGTAACTCCACCATGGTTACCATGGACTCAGGCTCGTTTTATATTTATTCTCATTACCCTGGCATGTAGCTTTCATTCTCAATAATCTAAAATGACTCTGGAAGCTCCAGCCATCACATCTATGTTCCAAGCAGCAAGAAGAAACAAAGATTTTCCAGACATCTCATACAGTACTTAAAAAAAAATCCTATATCATTGGCCATAACTTAATCACATGTCCATACTTAGCTACAAGGGAGGGTAGAAAACAGAACCTTTTTGCCATATGCATTGCTACTCTGAGTAAAACTGGAATTCTCTTACTAGGAAAAAGGACAGAATAACCAGAAATAGCCAAAGAGTACATTCTTTAATATTTCTCACCTGAAACCTTGGGATTTTTTTTTTTTGATCAACATCTTGCACTTTATAATACAAATGTTTACATAAATCTCATGCTTACAGTACAAAAGGCAAAGGACCTCAAGAGAAGTAACTGGGATATTACTAATTCAAGTTAGCAGAAGCTTTTATAATAGAGAGGGAACACATTATAAGAAAAGATATTTTATGACTTTAAGAAATGATTTAGGAGTGTATTTTGATGTTATTCCCTGGTAACTCAGTTGGTAAAGGATCTGCCTGCAATGCAGGAGACCCTGGCTCGATTCCTGGGTCAGGAAGATCTCCTGGAGAAGGTAGAGGCTACCCACTCCAGTATTTTTGGGCTTCCCTTGTGGTTCAGCTGGTAAAGAATCCGCCTGCAATGCAGGAGACCTGGGTTCAATCCCTGGTTGGGAAGATCCCCTGGAGAAGGGAAAACGTACCCACTCCAGTGTTCTGGCCTGGAGAATTCCATGGACTGTATAGACCATGGGGTCGCAAAGTCAGACACGACTGAGCAACTTTCCCTTCACTTTGGTGTTATTTACTCATAAAATCTGGGGCCTCCCCAGGTGACTCAGTGGTAAAGAATCTACCTGCCAAGCGGGAGACAGGGGTTCTATCCCTGGTTCGGAAAGATCACCTGGAGGAGGACAGGGCTACCCACTCCAGTATTCTTACCTGGATAGTCCCATGGACAGAGGAGCCTGGTGGGCTACATCCAGTCCAGGGGGTCACAGAAGAGTTAGACTTGACTTAGCAACGAAACAACAGTTAATAAAAGCTGAGTGTATTCTACCTCTTGTGTTGGCATGAAGAAACTGATCCTACTGAGAGTTCATTGCGTCTGTTTTTCTCTGCCCAGGATGTTATTCACTGCAGAGATGAGAAGGGCTCTTTTAGCAGTCTCAATCTTGGTGTATTTATGGAAAGAGAATAACATTGTATTATTGTGGTGCTGTATTATTTTAAGTAAGATAAACAGTTTCTCCCTTTTTGTCTGTGAAGTATTTGCTTCTCTTTTTCTCATTTGTCTGGATAGTTACACTGTTACATCTTTGGAGTCTGGTATTTTAGAGGAGCACTTCTCTTGGAGAAATGCAAAGAGGGGTAGGCAGAAAATGTCAGGTCAATACAACTGTCCTTGGTGCCATCATAGAGGGATAAACGGTGTGCCCAGGTAGAGAGGGAGATTAAATCTGATTAGAAGGACTGTTTGCTTGTGAAAAGCAGCCTGAGCTCCTTTATCAGGCTGGAGGCCAGGTCTAAAAGATAGTGCTTAACTAGGGAGGAAAAAAACCCCTAAAATGCAGAGGAGAAGGGTGGTTTGAAAGCAAAGGGCTGAATAGAAACTATTCCTATGTTCTGTATTTCATAGGGACAAAAACGTGACCTATTTAAACAACTGTAAGGCCATGGGATTCCATAGGCACATATGGTATCTAGTTTACTGTGAAACCACCTCTATAATCAGAATATTCTCCTTTTTATTTTTATTTTTGGTCACCCCACACAGTCTGTGAGATCTTAGTTCCTTGACCAGGGATTTAACACAGGGCCCATGGCAGTGAAAGTGCTGAGAGAGTCTTAACCACTGGACTGCCAGGGAATTCCCTATAATATTCTCCTTTATGTGACTTAAATCTCTCATGCTTGACCAAACATCAGGTTCAACACTTGCTGAGAACTTGGTATGTGTCAGGCATTGGGCCATTTCTAAGGAGATAAAGTGTTAGTCATTCAGTTAGTTACTCAGTCATATCCAACTCTTTGCAACCCCATGGACTGTAACCTACCAGGCTCCTCTGTCCATGGGATTTCCCAGCAAGAATCCTGGAGTGGGTTGCCTTTTCCTTCTGCAGGGGATCTTCCTGACCCAGGGATCAAACCTGGGTCTCCTGCATTACAGGCAGAGTCTTTTCCATCTGAGCCATAGTGAAAGCCAAGACATCTTATAACAAAGTCACAGAGATGTGTAAAAAAACAAACAGGGGGAAAATCACAAAACAAGTTAAGCTATGAAGTCTGTAGGGAATGCAGACTAAAGTTAAAAGTTAACTAAAGTTAGTCTGCCCTACCGTTAGTAGTAGTGAAAGAAAAGGGCGTGGATACTTTAGTTTTGTGAGTTAGGACATAACACGGTTAAGGTGCTAGGCAGGGTTCTGGGGTGAGGAGACCGGGCCCAGGTCCTCAGATGAATCACAGCGCCTTGTGTTGGTGAGGATGCTTAACCCGTCTATTTGTGAGTCATATCTTGCATGACCCCAACATCATGACTTGAATTTTAGGGCATCTGGTGCCCAGATCCTGCTTCTGCCTACTTGCTGAGGCTGGCACAGAGAAAGGCTGGTCACACCGTGAGGACTGCTCCTTGGGTGATGGACTCCCTCAGCTTATGCTGTGCAGTCCATTTGTTGTCGTTCAGTCACTCGGTCATGCCCAGCTCTTTGTGACCCCATGGGCTCCAGCATGTTAGGCTTCCCTGTCCCTCACTATCTTCCAGAGTTTGCTCAACTGCACACCTATTAAGTCAGTGATGCCATCCAACCATATCATCCTCTGTCGTCCCCTTCTTCTCCTGCCTCCAATCTTTCCCAGCATCAGGGTCTTTTTCAATGAGTAGACTCTTCGCATCGGGTGGTCAAAGTATTGGAGCTTCAGCTTCAGCATCAGTCCTTCCAGTGAATGAATATTCAGGGTTGATTTCCTTTAGGATTGACAGGGACATAGTTAACATCTTGTCACATCCTGTGGGACCCTCCTGTGGTCTGCCATGGCCTCGTCATTCCCTCCGCCCAACTTGTAAGTTCCTGGAGGGCAGGCCGGGCCCTCTCCGGGTCCACACTCGTGACTGTGGTGTTGCTGCCTGTTCATCTTGATGTGTGTGTGTTCTAGGATGAATCTGTGCCACCGGTGTCTTTTCTGAAGATCCTGAAACTGAACAAGACAGAGTGGCCCTACTTAGTGGTGGGAACCCTGTGCGCTGTTGCCAACGGGGCGCTCCAGCCGGCCTTCTCGGTCATCTTCTCGGAAATGATAGCGGTGAGTGTGGAAACACCACTGGATGGCCTGAGTGAAATCACTTCACCAGGAAGTCAGTTCTCATGCCAGCCCGGTCCACTCTGCAGTAAGGCAGCCTCCAATGAAACTAAGCCAAAGGCTTTCATTCCCTGTTGAGGAAAGCTGTGAGGCAAAAGAAAAAGTCAGCCAGTTATGCTATCAAGGAAATTAGAAACTGCAAGGTCCCTGAAGGAGGCGTTCTAGTCACTCCCTCCGCTCGGATGAACTAGTGTCGGGCTGTGATCCCCACCCTGTTTGTGGAGAGGAGATGCCCACCTCACAGCATGGCTGGGTGGTGGGGGTGGGGGAAGAGTTCAAGTCTCAAGGGCTTAAGAGGCCTGGCTCTGGGCTCAGACCCCCTCGCCATTTAATTGCTGTGCTAAGTCGCTTCAGTCATGTCTGACTCTTTGCAACCCTGTGGAGCCCAGCAGGCCCCTCTGTCCATGGGATTCTCCAGGAAAGAATACTGGAGTGGGTTGTCATGTCCTCCTTCAGGGCACCTTGCTGACCCAAGGATATAACTTACATTTCTTACGTCTCCTGCATTTTAAGTGGGTTCTTTACCATTAGCACCACCTGGGAAGCCCCCAATTGCCGTGAAAACTTGGGCAGATGCTTCACCTTGCTGTACCTCAGTTTGTTCATCTGTAAAACAAACCTACCTCCTAGAATGGCTGATGATTAAGAGATGATAAAAACTATATGCCAATAAAAAATTTTAAAAAGAGAGATGATATAAGTAACGATTAATATACAGAAAGCATTTAAGAGTGTCTACCTCAAAGTATTAAAAAGTGCTATCTACTACATCATTGTTCAGTAATCCTTACAAGGCTTGGAGAGGCTGAGACACAGAGAGAAAACTACAATCCAATTGTTAAATTCCCTGAGGGATGTTTATCAGAAGTGATCAGAAATATCTAAGGCTCCATAAAATCTAACATTTATATTTTATAACCTTAGTTAATCTCTAATGTTATCAGAGAGAATTTTTATTAGAGTTGAATTATTCCCCATCATATAAAGAATTTATTATGTTTCTGAATTGGAATGTTGGTCTACAATTAAGACCACAAATCAAAAAATAAATAAATTAGGGAGAACCCACCAACTGTTTTCACAGTACAGAATAAGGCAATCCCTGACTCTCTTGCAATTCAAAAACAGTGTGGGCTGTACTCATATGTGGGGGCCTCTTCTTGGTGTCAAACGGAGCTTTTGGAGATTGAGTAGAGAACAAAATAAACCAAGTCCTGCCCCTAAACAGTTTACTTTCTATTGGGACAGATACATAACACACACACACACACATACAAAACAAGTATATTACACATCACAGGATGGCAGACATTTTAAAAGCACAGTCAGGCAGTGGAGGGGCTGGCAATGGGGGGTGATGTGTCGTGCAGTTTGGTCAGGAGAGACCTCTTTGGGCCGAGGCCCTGTGGGGTGGGGTGGGAGGCAGATGAGGGGCAGAAGGAGTTCAGGCAGAGGGAGCAGCAGGTGCAGAAGAAGAGGAATAAATATGACAGTGTTCGCCCACCACAGTCCATGTGCAGTGTTTCAACCCATGTCAACAACCACACGCAGCAAGTCCTCCACAGACGGACCTGCAGGTTATGAACTTTCAAAGACGCAAACTCACATGCCAGGCCCTGTATGCCGCTGTTGTACTGCGGTACTTTACAGGGTTCTGTTCTATACAATTAAAAGGATTTCCTTTATTTTTTGCATTTGTTTTTTATGTGTGCATTATTTTGCGGTAAGTATTATAAACATGCTACTATGCAGCCGATGGTGTTTGTGGGGGTATCTAGGCTAACTTTGTTGGATTTACAAAAAAAAAAAATTGGACTTATGAACCTGCTCTTGGAACTGAACTCATTCATATGTAGGGCACTTACTGTGTTCCTCAAATTCATGGAGACAGGAAGTAGAATGGTGGGACTAGATGGCTAGGGGTGGGGTCGTGGAAGTCCCTGTTGAATGGGTTAGGATTTCATTGTGGATGATGAAGAGTTATGGAAATGGATGGTGGCAAAGGTAGCACAACACTCTGAATATCCTTCGCACCACTGCGTAGTACACTTAAAATCTACCACTTAGCTAACTTGATATTACATGTATTTTACCACAGTTAAAAAAAAGACAACACATATTCCAAACCTAGTTTTTAAAATGGGATGCTCAAGCCATTGTTTCTGGGAGGAATATACAAGGTTCATGTAATCCAAGTGGGTATTTTAAATGTCCTCTTGTAGATTTTTGGACCAGGAGACGATGAAGTGAAGCAGCAGAAATGCAACATGTTCTCATTGCTTTTCTTAGGCCTGGGAATTATTTCCTTTTTTACTTTCTTCCTTCAGGTAGGTACCTATAATTTGATCTTCTTTATCGAGTCTGTATTCAAGTAGAGAATATAGATTAATTATCGATTAGATTTTCATTAATTATATGTTAATACAGATTAATTATTGATTAATCAAAGTCCAATAAAGGAAACAGGTTATCCAAACCTTCGCTTTGCTGCTATATAGCACAGTGAGCTCAGCTCGGCACTCTGTGATGAGCCAGAGGGGTGGGAGGGGGTATATGTATAATATATGTATACTTAAAGCTGATTAATGCCATTGTACAGCAGAAACTAACACATTGTAAAGCAAGTATACTCCAGTTTAAAATTTTTTAAAAATGTAAAAACCCTTAGCTTTGATTTGGAGTTTCCAAATCTTAGACTGAAATGAATTACAGACTCAGTTGGCACAAGGCTCTTTGAGAGGGCAGAGTCCTAAGTAGTAGGCATTGTGACTTCCCTGGGTGCTAAGTTACATCATGTTACAGGTTGGCCCTCTGCAGACATTCATTGCCAAGGAGGAAAGAGACTTTAATTCACAGGACAACATAAGTCCCATTTAAATGCAACGAAACATAAACTGAAAAAAAAAAAAAAATCAGTACAACAGCACTCTCTTTTTGAAACTGAAAGTGTTAGTTGCTCAGTTGTGTCCGACTCTTTGCAACCCCATGGACTGTGGCCCACCAAGTTCCTCTGTCCATGAGATCATCCAGGCAAGAATACTGGAGTGAGTAGTCATTCCCTACCCCGGGAGATCTTCCCGACCCTAGGATCGAACCTGGGTCTCCGCATTGCAGGCAGATTCTTTACTGTCTAAGCCACCTTACTCTTTACATAATATCAAGTAACTTCTCTGATCTTTTCTTCCTTAATTGATGAACTCTTTGAAAGAATGAACATTATACTGCATTTAGATATTATAGACCTGCCCAAAATGAACTAGTAAACTCTGTACTTGTCTACCTAGGCTTTTACCAGTGGCTTTTTGTCTCTTTAACTCAGTGCCTTTCTAATACAATCCATTAAGTCCACAAAATATTTCCTAGTCATGCCTAGTGTGTTTCTCTTTTACTATTGTTGAGCCAGTGGTAAAAGTAAGCCAAGATTTTTGTTTAGGAATGATTGCCTTGCTGGTGGCAACTCAGTGTCCAATGTAGCCACAAGCCCCGGTGTGTTAGGGAGTGGAGCTAGTTACAAACACGTGCTGCACCAACACTCAACGTGGCTGGAGACCCATCCCAGGACTCCGGAAGCAAGCCCAGCTGTGGACATCTGGGCTGCTCTCTATAATTAGAAAGAGGGAAGTGTCTGGCAAGGATGCTGGGAGAAGACAAGTAGACTGACCATTGGCTGATAGGAGAGCAGGCAGAACTGTGACGGGGAAGCAGCAAACTCACTTGGAGCCAGCACTAGAGACATCTGTCTACACCAGGGGTCCCCAGCCTCCAGGATCTAACTCCTGATGATCTGAGGTGAAGCTGATGTAATAATAATAGGAGTAAAGTGCACAATAAATGTAATGCTCTTGCATCATCCCCAAACCATCTCCCCACCCCACCTGTCAAAAAATTGTCTTCCATGAAACTGGTCCCTGATGCCAAAAAGCTTGGGGACCAATTTTTGTTGTTTTTCAGCCACTCATTCATGTCTGACTCTTTGCAACCCCATGGACTGCAGCATGTCAGGCCTCCCTGTCCTTCACTGTCTCCCAGAGTTTACTCAAACTCATGTCCATTGAGTTGGTGATGCCATTCAACCATCTCATCCTCTGTCACCCACTTCTCCTCCTGCCTTCAGTCTTTCCCAGCATCAGGGTCTTTTCCAGTGAGTCAGCTCTTGCATCAGGTGGCCAAAGTATTGGAGCTTCAGCTTCAGCATCAGTCCTTCCAATGAACATTAAGGATGATTTCGTTTAGGATTGACCGGTTTCATCTCCTTGCAGTCCACGGGACGCTCAAGAGCCTTCTCCAGCAACATAAGTCAAAAGCATCAATTCTTTGGCACTCAGCCTTCTTTATGGTCTACCTCTCACATCCATACATGACTACTGGAAAAATCATAGCTTTAACTAGATGGACCTTTGTTGGCAAAGTGATGTCTCTGTAGACTACAGGAGCCAAAATTCATCCCAGCATAGAATTTTGTTACTTACATTGGAGACTGTTTTGCTTCAAGCAGTAGGTATACTCTGAAGGTTGTAATTAAGACAGTATTATTCTCACTGAGATGTTATCCATGAGAATTTTGAAAAGGAAGTCTCTTTAGAATGGGTCAGAAGCCAATTTCTAAGACACATTTACAGATTTTGGTCTTAGGATTCTATTGTATACCAGTAATTTACCAGTATATGAATTTTTTATTTTTGTTTTTTTATGGAAATGGAGTTGATTTACAATGTTAATTTCTGCTGTACAGCAAAATGATTCAGTTATAAATATATAAACATTTTAAAATATTCTTTTCCATATGGTTTATCATAGGACACTGAATATAGTTCTCTTTGCTGTGTAGTAGGTCCTTGCTGTTTATCTATTCCAGCTGCAGTAGCATACATCTAGCAGCACATGAATTTGAAGTTGGGACTTTGAGTTAGTATCTGATCATAAAATTTGTTATTTGAATAGTTGAGTCATATATAAATATTATAGAATTCCATGTGAATACACATACTTGTGTCAGAATGCTTGTGATGATTAAGAGAGACAAGAGCATTTCTTCCTGCCCAGGGCTTCACGTTTGGGAAGGCTGGTGAGATCCTCACCACGAGGCTACGGTCAATGGCTTTTAAAGCGATGTTGAGACAGGTAGGTGTGCGCACCAGGGCAGTGTTTTCCTTTCCTTTCAAGCCTCACTGTGCTGCCCTCTGTGCTGTGGGTCCCGGGTGTTCATGCAGGAACTGGTGAGAACCCCGCTAGTTGTACTAGCCCTTCAGCATCCAAAGACCTCGTAGGGTTTCCGTGGGGTTTATGTAATAAATAGGGGCTAGTATGTCATGACTTCGGGGACTTCTTTTGCAACTCCCTCTATCCACGTGGATACTCTCACTTCAAGGATCTGTCTGTGTTTTCCGGATTCTGTGCAGGCCCTCGGAGTCACTTGAGACACCAGGATGCCTTTCAACAAAGGCAACAATGATTGGCAGGGTTTCTGCCCAACAGTTGATGCGACTTACTAAGGGCGTCACCACGTGTTGATCATTGAGTTTTGTTTGACCGCTTCTTCCATGTTGGTTCACTTGTTGGTTCACTCCAGCGTCACTCACTATGTCCCAGATGGTGTGCTGGTCTTTGGGACTATCACGTGCATTGTGCGCCCCATCAGGAGGGTGACGCCTAGTACAGGACTCATGGGAAGATGTGCAGGCATGAATTCTCTATTTTATAGAGAAGGCTTAAGAGAGGGCCAGAATATTATCCATGTAGTTGACAGGAACGGATGACATTCTGGTTCACAGGAGGGCACAGGGCTGGTATCATATTTTGTGCAAGACTTTTTTCAGTGTCTTTTAAACTGTTGCTATGTAGGGAAAATTATTTTATATGAAACTAAAAGATTCTGTGGATGAGGGGCATATAATTAAAATCATATCTAAGACTTTAAATTTTTTGAAATTTCTTTCTTTCTTTATTTTTGATGGCACTGAGTCTTCATTGCTGTTCATGCTTTTCTCTAGTTGCTGCAAGAGGGGCCTCCTCTCGAGTTGTGGTGCGTGGGCTTCTTGTGTTGCAGTGCACGGACTCTGGGGCACACACGGGCTTCAGTAGTTGGGGCGCCCGGACTCTAGAGCACAGGCTCAATAGTTGAGGTGCATAGGCTTTGCGTTGACCCACGGCATGTGGGATCTTCTTGGACCAGGGATCAAACTCGTCTCCTGCATTGGAAGGTGGATTCTTTACCACTGAGGCACCAGAGAGGCCCTAAGATAGACTCTTTCATCCCTGCTTCAAATAAACACAACAAAACATGGTGAGAAACCAGGGCTGATGATCTCATGCCTAGAATTTAGAAGAAAGAGCCATGTCCAGCCCAGCTCCACCACCCTTTGTGAGCAGAGTGGCCCCATCAGAGAGCAGGTGTTGGGGGCACAAGTTTGAGGAGTGGGTGGGTGGACCCGCAGGCACCGTGGTCTCCGGTGAAGCTGGCGGTGAGCTTGGCTGCCATCTGGATAAGCCCCGCACCCATGGTGTGCTTTCCGGGCGCAGCTGGGAGGGGTCCTATGGGCTCCCAGTGTGTGTTCAGGGCAGGGACCCGGGCTCCCTGCCACATGGGAGGTCTCCCCTAAACTCCAACAGCCAAGTTCAGAGTGGGTACTTCCTCAGCAGTGAGAGTTTGAGATGTTGCATCTGATTTTTCTCTGCTTGTTTTAATCTGGAACTAACTTAAAGGTGTATCATGTGCCTTAGGACATGAGCTGGTTTGATGATCATAAAAACAGTACTGGTGCACTTTCTACAAGACTTGCAATGGATGCCTCGCAAGTCCAAGGGGTATGTAGACCTCATTCTACTACTGTTTTTCTTTAACTTGGTTTGGGAGAAACATATGGCATAGCTGCCACCTTTAAACTGTCTCAGCTGCAAATAACAGAAAACTCAAACTGGCCTGAACAACAAAGAGGAAGGTTAGACTTCAGGACTGATGGATCCATTGGCTCACAAGTGTCTAGAAGGACCCAGGACTCTGTCTGTTGACTCTGAGCAGCTTTCAGTCCTCAGAATTGGCTTCACGCTGAGGCTCCTTCCCTTGTGGCCATGAGGTGGCTTCTGGGAGCAACCGGAGCTATAAGCTTCCTTGTTTTTCATCCAATGGAAGAGAAGGCATACCTGGACCTCAACCGCCAAACAAACACCCTTCCTTTATATCTAACTTAGATTAATTTGGGCCACATACCCAACCCTGAACCAATAAGTGGCTCCGGAGGGTGTCGCCCTCTCCCTGGCTTTCGCCCCCAGCCTTGGAGCTGAGGCCTGTTACACAAAGTTCATTGCTTCTGCACAATGCAAGATGTCACCTGTGATGTCCCTATGACATCCCTTGTTTTCTGGTTGATGGAAACAGTACTTCATCTTTATGAAGGTTTTCCAGGGGATGGTCTCTTAGGATCTGTACCCTTTGCAACTGATGGTCTCTTGGAGCTCATGAACCTCCCTCTTATACATGTGAAGCAAACAGGCTTTAAAATGACCAGAGCATCTGAGGTTTATTTCCTCTTTAAACGTTGCCTTCAGGAAAAAGTGTATGTGCCCCATAGCCTCTCCCCAAAGCAGAGCAGTGATGACCTGGTTCTGTGATGCTGAATCCATGTGGTCAGGAAAGGAGTGACAGTTGAAAGGCACAGCCAGAAAATAAGCGGCAGAGCCTCCCAAGTGATGCGTGAGACTACTTTGGGCACCTGATGCGAAGAGCCGACTCATTAGAAAAGACCCTGATGCTGGGTAAGATTAAGGACAGGAGGAGAAGAGGGTGACAGACAGACATGAGTATGAGCAAACTCTGGGAGATAGTGAACAACAGGGAAGCCTGGCATGCTGCAGTCCATGGGGTCAGAAAAGAGTTGGCCACGACTGAGCAACTAAACAATAACAATCTTGGGTTTATTGTAATGAAAGAGAGCAAATGTTAGCACAGGCATGAATCCCTGTCTCATGGTTCTGACCAGGAGGCTGAAGGCTGCAGCTCACAGATCTGCAACTTCAACTACAGCTCCCTCTCTTCTTTTGCTCATCCAGGCCACTGGGACCAGGTTGGCTCTGATTGCACAGAATACGGCTAACCTTGGAACTGGTATTATCATAGCATTCATCTACGGTTGGCAATTAACCCTTTTGCTGTTATCGGTTGTTCCAATTATTGCTGTATCAGGAATTGTTGAAATGAAATTGCTGGCTGGAAATGCCAAAAGAGATAAAAAGGAACTGGAAACTGCTGGAAAGGTGGGTCAAATAAGGCTTCAGTGGATATAAGTATGGTTGTTAAGACATGGGTTTTATTTGATTGATTTGTTACAACATGCATGTTTTGATAATGTCAGTGCTCCCTACAACTAATAGTGGTCAATACTGAGTTTGAAATATCTTACTGTGTCAGTGCCTAGAACTTGAAAATGGGATAAATAATGTAAAATTTTAGCATATAGAAAGTGCTATATTCAGAGAAGTTCTGAGCTTTCAGAGCTTCTTTTACCTTTTACTTTGTACAATGATGCCATTGTTAGGACAAAGGTTACCCCTGTTTTACAGATGAAGAGTCCTTAAGGCAGAGACATAGAAGTGTATTGTTTTAAGGAGACAGTCCTGTTCTTCTTGGTTGTGATTTCTGTAGTTAAGCTAGGCAGCCACCAGAGGGCAGTAATGCTCAGATTTGTGACTAATTGTAATGGCAATTGGGCACGCACTTAAACTTGGACCTTACTTTGAGTCAGTTATTGTTCTAAGTATTTATATGTTCCAACTCATCCTCACAAGAATCCTATGAGTCAAGTACTAATGTTTTGCCAATTTTACAAATGCGGAACTCAAGAATGAAACAAGTTAAAGGCATGGCTGGGATTCAAGTCCTGGTCTACTTCAAAGTTCTTTACTATATAGTCTCTTCATATGGGTTTAAATGTGTCTAAACCTACATTTTATTTAGACTTACATGTATTTAAATGTTAAATGTAGACAACAACCAGGAATTTTTTTTTTTTACCCTTACTTATGTAAATATTATGCTATACTGAAACATTAAGAGATGAAGAAATAGTGAAAATTGTGATGCAGTTTCTACAGCACAGCATTTGCAAAGCCTTTTCACAGACAATACTGCCTAGGCCTTAATAAGGTTGTGGTTACTCCAGGTGGGGCAGATAGCATGTCTCGCTCATGGGGAAGAAGAGCAGTCAGCGTGATTCCCAGACTTCAGCTCTCATATCCAGAGTCCTGCAAGACCCTCTTGGCTGCTGGCTGTGGCTCCTTTATGGCATCATTTCCTTGTCTGTCACCACTAAAAACCACCCCACAGTGTTTGTTCCCTTTCTCCTGAACCCTACTGCTTTTCACATTTCAGAAGGGAAATTGTCATTTTTCTTAGACCAGTTACATGGAAGAAAACATCTTAAATCTAGTTGATAGAGCCTCACTTCTGTCAAAAATGGCCAATGACACTGAAAGTAGCCAGAGTTTTCTGGCAGGAGTAGGGCTGTTAGGATGGAACAGCTTGGCAAACAAAACGCCATGTTGGATCATCCGTCCTGGCCTTGTAGCCACTCGGTATATCATACTGGAGAAGATTCCCCCCCTTCTCTGGCCCTCAGTTTTCACTTATGTAACGTGAGAAATTGTACCAGATAATGTCCCAGGTTCCTTTCAGCTACTACTCTGTGTCATTTCAGGCATCAGAGGATGAACAACTCACATTGAGCAGTCTGAAATATTTTCAGTAGCTACTTTAACCTAATAAGGGTTTTTTTTTTTAAAATGAGAGGTTAGAAATTGTAAATACTAATTATCAGCAATTCAATCATATTTCAATTTGGTTTACTCTGTCAACTCCTGATTAACCCACAATGAGGGTTAGAAAGGTCTTGGAATCTCTGCCACCGCCCCCGCCCCCTGCCCTCTGCTCTTCTGCTGTTTTTTGGTGTTGTTTTAAAGTTCTCATTGACCTGTGTGCAGATTAGTCATGGTTCAGGAGCATGGGGACTTGGGATAATTTCCCATTTTCATTTTCCAATAAAGGCTTAGTAATGAGGGCATTGGTTGCTGGACTGGGAAGAGGGGAGGGAGGCTGTTGAGTCACCCTGCTGACTCAGGCCCTGCCTGCTGACTAAGATAAGGAGCCTACTGAACCAGAATGAACCTCGAAGCACTTAATCCAGGGACCAGAAAACGATAAGTTGGGTGGAAAGTCCTAACAACTAGTTTCTCCTTGTGTAAATTACAAAGCAGGGAAAGTAGGTGAGCATAATGGATGAAGAGCAGGGACCTGGTACCAAACAGCCTGGTAGGGAACCCTGTCCCACCTACTCATGAACTCTGGAGCCTTCGTTCCCTCACCTGTGCGAACAGGAATCGGAACACGGGCCCCACAGGGCTGTCACATGAGGTAATATCGGGCACAGAGTAAAAGCCGATCTGTGTCCTCTATTCAGGGGCTTCCAAGATGGGTTAGCGGTGGAGAATCCACCTGCAATTCGGGAGATGCAGGAGATGTGGGTTGGGAAGATTCCCTGGAGGAGGAAGTGGCAACCCACTCCACTGTTCTTGCCTGGGAAATCCCATGGACAGAGGAGCCGGGCAGGCTACAGTCCATGGGGTCACACAGAGTCAGACACGACTGAGCACATTCTCTATTCCGGCTGTGATTACTGTTAGATGTTTCATTTATAATAAAGATAAAAGGCTCTTCAGCTTGAAGTATTGAATATCTTTATTTTATCAGGTTCCAGAAGCTGAGAACTGAGATAAAAGTCTCCAACCTAAGGTTTTGTTTTAGATTTGTGTCTCATGCTCCTTGTGCCAATGGTTTAGATGAGTCAACTGCAGAACTCTGATTTAGGCTAAATAGCAGAGTCACAGACAATTAACTTCAGTCAGGGGTGGTTTAGCTGTCACAGTCAGAAAACTGCTCTGGTGGGTTTGGGTCAAAGGGTTTGCTATAAGCACATGCAGGAGTGAGGGGAACACCGACAGCTGATGGTAACTGCAGGGTCCCCAGCAGCTCCTCTCTTAAAGCCACTAGCTCTCTCATCTCTGAGTCTGTTCAGACATTTGTTCTTTTCCTCAGTCAATGAATATTCAGGCCAGCTTCCTACACATGCTCTGGTGACCTTAACCTCTGTATCTGCAGGCCCTCCCAAGTCACAGAGTTGCCTTCAAGTGCAGAAACTAAATCCAAATGGCCTAAATCAGTCAGATGTCTGTCCTGGTTTTACCATTAAGGCCAGGTCGTAGTGTTTACAACTGGAATGTTCTCAAATGAGGATAAGCATTTTCTTTCCTAAGAAGCAGTGTACCTTAGGGAAGAAATGATTGCACCTTCAGTAGGCTCTTAGAAATCACTTGGGGTTTCTCAGGTGGCTCAGTGGTAAAGAACCCACCTGCCAACACAGGAGACATAAGAGATGCAGGTTCGATCCCTGAGTGCGGGAGATCCCCTGGAGGAAGAAATGGCAACCCACTCCAGGATTTTTGCCTGGAGAATCCCATGGTTAGAGGAGCCTGGTGGGCTACAGTCCATGGGGTCTCAGAGAGTCGGACACGACTGAAGGACTTAGCATGATTATCTCTTCTAAGATCCTACCCTACAAAGAAAGCAAAGTCACACAGGGGTTTGACTAAAGCCAGTCGAGTAACTGCCTGGTGGCAAGACTGGGAACAGAATTTGGCTTCATGTCCAGACCACTGTTTGTGCCCTAAGCTGATCTGTCTCTCAGCCTAGTACATAGGAAGGCTTGCCCACCATACATAACAGCGCAACCAGTGGTGCTTTGAAGATGCCCCAGGTTTCTCACAGAGCTTGTCTTGAATAACACATTATGCCCATGCTATACAAACTGAAGGAACTGAAAACTCATCAATGGAAACTTCGGAGTTCTTTGGACAGAGCCCTGAGACTTATATATATTATATATATAATAAATACATGTATATTTATCATTTATTTCAGAAGTAGTATTATTTATTATTTCAGAAGCATTTATTATTTCAGAAGTAAAAGCCCCACTTCTAATCAAGTTCTGTTCTATGTTACAGATTGCAACAGAGGCAATAGAAAATATTAGGACAGTCGTGTCCTTGACCCAGGAAAGAAAATTTGAATCCATGTATGTTGAAAAATTGTATGGAGCTTACAGGTAATGAGCATATGATTGTTACTAAGAACCTAGTATTATTGATTGCAATTTTTAGGCTGAATTTTTGATTGCAGTTTTTATTCTGCTGCAAATAATGATATGATTATAAGAATGTTCTGCTGCAAATAATGATATGATTATAAGAATGGCCTTTTTTCAATAATTATCTCACTGAAAACAAGTAATTTTTTGATGCAGTTGGACTATAAGATTGGATTTTTACATCTCTTATAAAATAGTATGATTGGGTCTCTGAGAGTTAACAGGAACAGAGGGCTGCACAAGTACTTTTTTTTTTTTAGCCAATGCCGGCAACATAAACCACCCATCTGGTGATTCAGGGTAAACATTCTTTAAAGCAGTTGCTCAAGCCTTTATTTTCTTTGGATTGTGTAAGACTAAACCAAAGATGAGACTTGCTTTGGGGTTAAAGTGTTTCTACTGTTTTCTGGATGAGGGCCAGATCCATCCTATCCTGAAAACAAAGACACAGTCTGTTTCTCTCCTTTATTCTTGAGCAACTCAACAAGTCTCCAGCATCTGTTTGCCACTTGTTTTCAACTAGGTCCTTTTCTCATGAATGGATATATTTTAGCACTAACAGACCCAAACACAAGCTGAATCACAACTTTGTGGACTAGAACAGTGGTTTTGAACACTTACATATTTGGACAGAGATAGTTGTGAATTTCTCAGTGTATCCACCTTCTTAGCTATGTATACTTCATGTAGCAACATTTTTCTGTCCCTTTGATGTTTGACATACATGTCAGTAGCACTGTAAATTGTTCAGTAACATTAAGTATTGTAATACTGCTTATAGCACATAAGTCAAACTAGCCAAATAAGTAATACTTTGAATTTTCCCTCTTACCAAGTGCCTTCCTTCTAATCTGAAAGTAAATAAATTACTGTTCTTTTGGAGGATTTAGAATAATGAAGTGTAATAAAGTAGCAAAACTAGTAGTAGAGGATAGCATGAGGTCTAATTAGAAATGGTGTAGAACAAATTGTGCTGGGGCTGGTGGGATCCAGTTCCAGGAAGAAGTTCTGATGTGCCTATGTAGATCTCGCTGACCCTACTTTTCCAAATCCAAAACATGAACAGACTATAATCCAAAACATAAGAGACTATAACTAGTCACAGAAGACGAGATAATGTTAGACAATAGAATTTAGATCATTCAAACTTCAATCTTAACTCTGACATCCTTTATTTTTGACACAACAATCATGTTTATATCATGTGTTGAAGGTCTGAATTACTAGATATTCATGTGTAATAAGAATAGCAACTATCATTTGAACATCCACTGTGATCTAGGTACTGTGTTAGACATTTATATTGTGTATTTAGATCTCAAAGCAGTTTTGTATATCCTGGTTATCCCCCTCTTACAAATCAGAAAGCTGATATATAAAGAGGTTAAATCACCTACTCTGATTATAATTGGGAGCAGAACTTAACAGGTAGACTAAACTTAGAAGCTGTGCTGTTTGTATAACCCAGTGTTAAAGAGACTGAAGAGATGGTTACAGATATACTAATCTGCTTTTCAGGAATTCTGTGCGGAAGGCACATGTCTATGGGATTAGTTTTAGTATTTCACAAGCATTTATGTATTTTTCCTATGCTGGTTGTTTCCGATTTGGTGCCTATCTCATCGTAAATGGACACATGCGCTTCAGAGATGTTATTCTGTAAGTAATTTTTTTTAAAATTTATTGACATTATTCCATAACAGAGCTTCAGTAGGTCTATGCAAAAGTTTGTAGTAGGATGAAAAACTAATTTATGATGAAGCCAGAGAGTTGAATCTACTCCAAAAATTGGACGTTGTCAGTACTCCAAGGGTAGTTTCATTTGTCAAGTGGACTGAATTCAGCCAAGCTAGTGTACGCAATCATAAACCAGACTTCTAGTAATACATAGGACAGGAGGATAACCAGTATTCTCAATGTGGAAATAAAACATAATTAGAAAACTTCAAGAGGTTAAATAGCTTACTATTTATGGGCAACCAATGATGGCCTTGCCAGTGGGATAGGAATGCATGACTGAAATCTGGGAAAGACTCTCTTCCCTAACCAGACCTGGGATGACCCTGCCCACTCTTGCCTCTTAGCCTTCCTATTGTCTTGGTTTCCAAGGCTAACCAATGGTCTTTCAAAATATGCCAAATACATTCAATTAGGTTGCAGTCTAGTCTTGCCAATGGGAAGCTATTCTTTTAAGATCCTTTGGCATATTTCTGGTGTGATGGGATGATTTTTAAAGCAGTAGCAAACAACTTAAAAAAAAAAAAAAACAGGGTCAAGACAGACAAAGTGAAAGAGTTTACAAGCTGTTCTTTTGTTTTCATCCAAAATTAAAATAACCATGAAAAAGGAATATGTATCTTTGCATCAGTCAGGATCCTAGCAGGGACAAATGGTTTTGCAAAGTACGGGGTCTCTCTAATTGGGACAGTAGCACTGACATATATAAATTACCATGTATAAAATAGATAGCTACTGGGAAGCTGCTATAGAACAGGCAGCTCAGCTCAGGGCTCTGTGATGACCTAGAAGGGAGGGACGGGGTGAAGGAGGGGGCTCAAGAGGGCGGGGATGCATGTCTACTTAGACCTGACTCACACTGTTGAACAGCAGAAATTAACACAACATTGTAAGGCAATCATCCTCCAGTTAAAACAATGAAGGGTCTGTTTTTAAAGGTGTGAGATGTATCGAGGTCAGCAGTGCCTAGCTAGGAACCATCAAAAAGTTCAGTTCAGTCGCTCAGTCATGTTCAACTCTTCACGACCCCATGAATCGCAGTACGCCAGGCCTCCCTGTCCATCACAAACTCCTGGAGTCTACTCAAACTCATGCCCATCGAGTTGGTGATGCCATCCAGCCATCTCATCCTCTGTCGTCCCCTTCTCCTCCTGCCCCCAATCCCTCCCAGCATCAGGGTCTTTTCCAAGATGTTACTTAAGCCTAAAAGGCAAGAAGAGGGAGGGATTTTCAGAACCCAGCATGCATTCCAGGGGGAACACCACAACTATCCACCAGAAAAGGGGCCAACACAACAAATGCCCTGGCCCCTCTCCTCCAGCCTCCATCCCTACTATGCTGGTCCTTGCCAAATGCCATCAGGAGCCAGAGGAACAGGAAACCTTTCGATGCAGACCCTGTAGGTCAGCCTCTAAGGCACAGAGGAAGGAGGATGGTGTCAGGTGGAGATGGAGAGTAGAAAGTGGTTTCAGAGAGACAGATGCAAACAGCCAGTTGGGAATTACCACTTGGAATATGCATACTGTCTAGAAAAACACCATCGAAGAAATTGGCCCTGCTTTTGAAAGCTATCTTTTTTTTTTTTTTTTAGTTTTTTTTTTAGTTTTATCTTTAAAATGTTAAATTCTGGGTAATTGGAAGATAGCCTTTAAAGTCTTTCATATTAAGGCTGCATGGCAGGCTCTATAGGAAGGTCAGGCAGCTAGCTATGGGTGAGCTGTTCATCTCTCTCTGAAAATTTGATTTTTGGTAATCAACCTTCTCACGTATTTACGTGAATACTCTACCCACCATTCCCAGCCTCGTGTACTTAAAACAGACTTTAATAATTAGGTTTACACTTTGCTGCACAGCAATAATTAATGCAATCTTGTAAAATCAATTATACTTCAATTTTTTTAAAAGAATTTAAAAATAGAAAAAAATTAACTTACAAGCCAAAACAACAAGCCAAGTGCCATGATACCCAGGCCAGAATTATCTAGTCCGTATCAGGGTACAGAAGCAAAGCAGAGACAATTCAGTGCATGGAGTTTGATTCTATTTGATTCAGGTTTTTTCAAGCTTGTGGAACTTTAGTCTCACTTATTTGAATGTAGCTCAAAGAGACAAAACAATACAAACAGCTTAAAAAAAAACTTAGAAGTTTGGGGGAAATTTTTTTTAAGTTCTCCATTATTATTAGAGATCTTCCTACCCTCCTCTTTCTTTGGGGAGCTCTGATGCCAGAAGTAAATAGCTTTGTAAATGGCACTAATTGTAAAGAACTCACCTGCCAATTCAGGAGACATTAAGGGATGCAGTTTCGATCGATGGGTCAGAAGATCTCCTGGAGGAAGGCACAGCAACCCACTCCAGTATTCTTTCCTTGAGAATCCCATGGACAGAGGAGCCTGGTGGGCTGTGGGGTCACAAAGATTCGGACACGACTGAGCGACTGAGCATGCACACGCAGATCTCAAGATCTTTAGTTCTTCCTAGATGTTATCATCCATATCTATTCTCTTAATTGGAGAATAGACCTTTAGGTTAAGAGGATTGCTTTTTGAGGGTTGTAGCAATAGATATTTTACTTATAAGAGAAAAGCTGTTTGTAGTAAAGGCTTATTTTGCCTAATAAGAATTCTTTAAGCATAGTGCCGATGATTATCATTTGCCCAGCGGAGAGGTGGGGAGTGGGGGTGTGGAAGCCACTGTCTGGAGGTCAGGGCTATAGAGTCGGGAGAAAGTCTCACTCCTGATCTGGTCCTGTTCAAGTCCCTTCAGCACCCAGAGCTCCAGTTCCCTCAACTCCAAACAGGGTAAGCAGCTAATCGGTAGAATTACCTGAGAATTATCAGTAGAATTATCACAACTCTGATTCTCTGATCAGCAACTTCTGGAGAGAGAAGGACTTTACGAAGTTCCATGAAATCCAGGAAATGAGAAATCCTGAAGGAAGTCAGAGCATGCTTAGTTGTAGCCAACTCTTTGTGACCCTGTGGACTGCCACACGCCAGGCTTCCCTGTTCACTGTCTCCCAGAGTTTGCTCAAGCTCATGTCCATCGAGTCGGTGATGCCATCCAACCATCTCATCCTCTGTCGCCCCCTTCTCCTCCTGCCCTCAGTCTTTCCCAGCATCAGGGTCTTTGCCAATGAGTCCGCTCTTATATCAACTAATTTTCAAAATTCCTCTGCTCCCATCTAGGGTGTTCTCAGCGATTGTGTTGGGCGCCGTGGCTCTAGGACATGCTAGTTCCTTTGCTCCAGACTATGCTAAAGCCAAGCTGTCTGCAGCCCAGTTATTCAAGCTGTTTGAAAGACAACCATTGATTGACAGCCACAGTGAGGAAGGCCTGAGGCCCGTGAGTTCCGTGCTGTCTCATGAGCACTTGGTTCACTTTTTCCTCAAGGTTTTCTGTCTGCTAGATCGTGTCGACTGGAAAAAAACAAAAAGCGCAATGTGAGAGTTGTGAGTTAAGTTTTATTTGGGGCAAAATGAGGCCAATAGCCGGGCGACAGCACCTCAGATAGCTCTGAGAGACTGCTCCAGTTTTCCATTTGATTTTACTGAAGGGGGTACCTGCCGTCAGGCACACATTTTGGCAGAGGTTTTCTGCTAGTCACAAGTAACAGATGTCTCTGCTAATGGTTTTAGTGCTTTTCTAGTTATGAGAAGATGCAAGAAACTGGGTTCATAAAATTTTCTCCTGAAAATGTCTGTCTGCAGGCCTGTTCTGCCGGTGTTTTTCCAGAGCACAGGGTGCCTCATTCCTGATCCCTGAACCCCTTTCAGGGGGTGTTGAAGGTCAGCGGTTGCAGCAGTTTGTGGCTTAGCCCTTGTAGATGAGAGTGGCGATCGTAACTGCAGGATAAATTTGCAGTGATTACGCTGACATTGACTTCACTAGCTTTGTGATAGTTACAGGGCTAATAATATTTGGCCAACTTTCCTGGCATTTTCAAATTTCATAGGGGGTTGCAAGGATTCTGATGTTGAGTACATCAAAAGTTAAAAAAACAACCACCAAATATCCAGATTGTACTAGAATGAAATAATTTCCATGAAAATGGAGTCATTCCTGCAGGGAAGGTATGTGGCTTTAATTTTGTGAGTTGCATTAGCAGTTGTACTTGCAATTGCATTAGCAATTTGGCTTTCATCACCTGGTGTAATGACTGTGTTGTAAATGGTAAGACAGCTACTTTATTCAGAGTTGGAGGAACAAGGATTTACTGTCTCCAAACTTAGCTCTCAGTGTTCTTTGTATAATACAAGCAACTGCACATTCTAATGTGAAGCAGCGTGGGTAAAGAGATGGGGACTTATGCAACATTTGGGGGACTTTATCATGTAATTCCTGTTATGATAAAATTACTGTGCTGAGTGAGTGAGTTAGAGAGGCCACAGGGCTTGAGTTAAGGGCTGTCCTCCAAGACTGCTCTAAATCCCCACGCCTTTGAGCCTTGAGCCATTGACTTGGCTTCCACTGCAAAATCATCATTTGGGAACACTAAATATTTGTCTTCAGTGACACAGAAATTTTGAGTTTAGATAACAACGCTATGACTCTCTTTAAGCTGAACCCCTGGTTCCCATCTTCATTTTGTATATATGACAACTCTAAAATATGACTCTCTTTAACCTGTAGCCCTGGTTCCCATTTTCATTTTTTAACAACTTGCTACCAATACTAACTGGTGCCACCACTTGTACTGAACACAGATTTTATGTTACTCTGCTGTAGTGTCTGTTAAAGCTTCCTTGAATTTATACTTTTTTATTCCAATGATTTATCAAACTAATTATAGTAGCAATATAAACATACCTATTTTTTAGGATAAGTTTGAAGGGAATGTGACACTTAATGAAGTCGTGTTCAGCTACCCCAGCCGGCCAAACGTGCCTGTGCTTCGGGGGCTGAGCCTGGAGGTGAAGAAGGGCCAGACGCTGGCCCTGGTGGGCAGCAGCGGCTGCGGGAAGAGCACGGTCGTCCAGCTGCTGGAGCGGTTCTATGACCCCTTGGCTGGCACAGTGGTGAGCATGCTTTCTGAGATCAGTAACCTGATTTAAGGCACTATCGGACAAGACCTACCATCTTAATGAAAAAAAGACCACATTCTGTGGATCCCAAACTGGCGCCCACAGTCAGACAAATATATGGGGACAGTAGGGTAGAATATGTGGAACTGAGTGGAGTTCAGAAAGGTCTGAGTGTGAAGTTGATCTCTACCCTGCCCTGGGCCCTCTGCACCAGCCAGATCCCCCTGCGAGAACACACACTTGCTTCCTGGGTTATAAAGGTAACCACACACTCCTACCAGAGTTCTGAGCAGATTCCCAGGACTCCCTCCCCTCCGTTCTTCTTGGCCATCTCTCTAACCCTGAACTTGAAGCTCTCTTTGATCCTTACCTCTGGGCCTCTCACATTTGGCTTTTAGCATTGATGTTGTTGGTGTCTAGCCCCTGGCCCTCTTCTAGTGGAAATGTGGCTCTTACCAATAATGCCTGCATCTCCCTTACCTTGGGATGGTACCCACGGACCTGGTCCAGGGAGCCAACCCCACGCAGACAGTCACCAGAATGTTAAGCCTTCTTGAGTTGCTTCTTTGGGGGAAAATCTTACGTTTCCACTATTACAATTACTATGAAGATATGAATTTGGGCAAACCAGCTCACTGTGCTAATCCTCCGGTGGGGATTTCTTTCTTAAAAGGCCAAGGCTAGTTGGACTCGTGTGTATTTCTTCACCATGTCCTTTGCACTGTGGAAGCTGTATCCTCACTTAGCACATCACAAGGCTCCTCTAGAAGCATCAGGCCTCCTGCTTCCAGCAAACAAAAAATAAAACCACCACCAAAGATAAAGATGCTACTCTTGAGCTTATCCACTTTCAGTTGAACTCTTGTCCTTGTGTGTTAGTCACTCAGTCCTGTCTGACTCTGTGACCCCATGGACTGTAGCCCACCAGGTTCCTCTGTCTATGGAATTTTCCAGGAAAGAATACTGGAGTGGGTTCCCTTTCCCCTTCTCCAGGGGATCTTCCTGCCCCAGGGATTGAACTCCAGTGTCCTGCATTGGCAGGCAGATTCTTTGCCCTCTGAGCCAACAGTGAGGGTAGGTGAAGACTGCTAGTTCTCAGGGGAAAGAGAGGTGAGGGGGCTAAGACAGGAGATAACCAGCTTTCAGAATGTGGGGCCCTGCTACTGACCTGCTTTTCTTCCTGGTGTGCCTGGAGATGGGGCACAGCGTCAAAGTGAAAAGGTCAGAGCTGTTCGGCGACAGCAGATACAAGTAGGACACTGAATTGCTTGCTTCTTTGTTAATGTTAATAATTAATTTTAATTGGAGGCTAATTACAATATTGTGGTGAAGGCAGAAGGTGGTACACTTGCTGGATGAAGGCAGACAGGAACAGACAGAGTAATGTGGAAAGACAGGGCCAAATGTGCTACCGTTTTCCCAGGTAGAACAAGAAAGGGATGGCTGAGTCGCCATAAAAAAACCTGTTTTTGTTGGCTGTGTGGGTCTTACAGGCTCTTACAGTGTAAGAGCTTACAGGCTGTGAGGGTTGGTATTTCACAAGCCGCTGACGTCCCTGTGCCACAGTCCTCTTAGTAACTTGCTGTTCAGGTTTTTTTGTTGTTGTTTAAGTCCTTCTTACAGTTTGTGGGGTCTGGTTTTCAGCTCCTAGATGGCCACGAAGCGAAGAAGCTCAACATTCAGTGGCTCAGAGCCCAGCTTGGAATCGTGTCCCAGGAGCCCATCCTGTTTGACTGCAGCATTGCCGACAACATCGCCTATGGGGACAACAGTCGGCTCGTAACCATGCCTGAAATTGTGAGCGCAGCCAAAGCAGCCAACATCCATCCTTTCATTGAGACCTTGCCCCACGTAAGTGAACTGGTGACTTCCTGGATGAGGTCGGAATCAACTGCAGACTGTGTTCCTCCTCCAGCAGGTCCCAGAGTTCGCCTCTGTACCAGCACTGTGACCTTGGACTACACACTGAAGTCCATGATACCAAGTTTCCTTATTGGGAAATGGAAATATTAATTGTGGTGTTTATCTTGTACCAAGGTCATGGGAAGCAAGTGAGGCGATTGTTAAGTCACCTCAAACTGTCGGTTGTGGGCTGCATTTGGACTGTAGCCCTGTTTGCTTTATCCCTTATGGCACTTTCTTTTTTTTTTTTTTCCATTTATTTTTATTAGTTGGAGGCTAATTACTTTACAATATTGTAGTGGTTTTTGCCATACATTGACATGAATCAGCCATGGATTTACATGTGTTTCCCATCCTGATCCCCGCTCCCACCTCCCTTCCCCTTCCATCCCTCTGGGTCTTCCCAGTGCACCAGCCCTGAGCACCCATCTCATGCATCCAACCAGGGCTGGTGATCTGTTTCACCCTTGATAGTATACTTGTTTCAATGCTATTCTCTCAGAACATCCCACCCTCACCTTTTCCCACAGAGTCCAAAAGTCTGTTCTGTACATCTGTGTCTCTTTTTCTGTTTTGCTTTTAGGGTTATCGTTACCATCTTTTAAAATTCCATATATATGCATTAGTATATTGTATTGATCTTTATCTTTCTGGCTTACTTCACTCTGTATAATGGGCTCCAGTTTCATCCATCTCATTACAACTGATTCAAATGAATTCTTTTTAATGGCTGAGTAATATTCCATTGTGTGTATGTACCATAGCTTCCTTATCCATTCGTCTGCTGATGGGCATCTAGGTTGCTTCCATGTCCTGGCAGTTATAAAGAGTGGCACTTTCTTTTTTAATGAAACATTTTATTTTGAGGTAATTACAGATTCACATGCAGTTGTTATAGAATATGGAGATCATATGTACCTTTGACCTAGTTTTCTCCAATGACATCTTGCAAAAGTGATGAGTATTGCAACCATGATACTAATTTGATATAGCCCACTGACCTTACTCAGAATTTGACGGTTTTGCTTGTATGCATTTGTATACATGTATATTTAGTTCTCTTCATTTTTATTGCATGTGTAGACTCACATCCACTGCTACAGTCAGGATGTGGAATGTTTTCATCACCGCAGATTCCTCATGTTACCTTTCTATAGACACACCCCTCCTCCTCACCTCACTCTCCACAACCCTTGGCAGCAAATAAGTGTTATCCATTTCTGTCATACTTTCAGAATGTTATATAAAGACATGTACAGTATGTAACCTTGTGAGATTAGCATTTTCACTCAGCGTAATTCCCTGAAGCTCTTGTGTGTTAACTGTAGTTCATGCATTTTTATTACTGAATCAGCTGGATATGGTCTGGATGGCCTGCAGCTTTTAAAAATTTTTATTGTGGTGTAGTTGGTTTACAATGTTGTGTTAGTTTCAGGTATACACGAAATATGATTATACATTATGTATATGTGTGTCTCCACATACACTCAATTTTAAGATTGTTTTCCCATAGAGGCCATTACAGAGTATTGAGCAGAGTTCCATGTGCTGTACAGTAGGTCATAATTAGTTCTCTTTTACATATATAGTGGAGTGTTTCTGTCAATCCCAGTCTCCTAATTTAACATCCCCTTCCCCATTCCTCCCTGGTAACCATGTTTGTTTTCTACATATGTAACTCTATTTCTGTTTTGCAGAGAAGAAAGAACATTCCTATCACTGTTGGTGGGAATGTAAATTGGTGCAGCCACCATGGAGAACAGTATGGTTGTTCCTTAAACTAGAGCTACTGTATGACCTGCAGCTTTTTAAACTAGTCACTTACTGAAGGGTATTGAGATTGTTTCCAGTTAAGTCTTTTAAGAGTAAAGCTGCTATAAGTATTTGTGTACAGGTTTTAGTGTGAACCTGAATTTTATTTCTCTGGGATAAATGCCCAGGAGTATAACTGCTAGACCATATGGTGATTGGTTGTTTAATTTTATAAGAAATGGCTAAACAGTTTTCTAAAGTGGTGTTGCTATTTCACATTCCCACCAGCAGGGATGAGGGATATAGTTTGAATCTTTGCCAGCACTTGCTGTTGCAACTGTGTTTTTAACCATCCTGATAGGTACACAGTGATATCTTATTGTGATTTTAATTTGCATTTCCTAATGGCAGAGGATGTTGAACATTTTTTATATAGTTATTTGCCATCTATATTTCCTCTGTGATGAAATGTCTTTTCATGTATTTTGCCTATTTTCTAATTGGATTGTTTTTTACTGTAGAGTGTTGACAGATTTTTATATGTTCTACTTACTAGTAAGTCCTTTGTTGGAAATGTAGTTTGCAAATATTTTCTCACAGTTTGTACCTTTTTTTTCATCCTTTTAACAGGGTCTTTTACAAAGCTTAAGTTTTTAATTTTGATGAGGTCCCAGTTCATCCTTTATTTCCTTTTACAGATTGTGCTTTTGATGTCAAGTCTGAGAACTCTCTGTCTAGGCCTTGGTCCTAAAGATTTTCTCCACTGTTTATTTTCTAAATTTATGGTTTTACAATTTAATTTCATGCTCCACTTTGAGTTAATTTTGTCATAAGGCTGTTTTTCTTTAGTATTTTATTTCTTTGGAGAGGACCTGTACTTTCCAATTTCCAGTCCCCAACACTCCCTATTTATTACCTCATTTAGTTGCTATCCTCGTTAGTATATAGTGTATATATAGTATACATCCTCGTTAGTATAGTGGTGAGTATCCCCGCCTGTTGTGTGGGAGACTGGGGTTCGAGTCCCTGGCGGGCAGGTAACACACCCTTGGGGCTTCCCTGGTGGCTCAGATGGTAAAGCACCTGTCTGCAATGCGGGAGACCTGGGTTGGATCCCTGGGTCGGGAAGATCCTCTGGAGAAGGAAACAGCAGCCCACTCCAGTACTCTTGCCTGGAAAATCCCATGGACGGAGGAGCCTGGTAAGCTACAGTCCATGGGGTCACAAAGAGTCAGACACAACTGAGCGACTTCACTTTACTTTAGCTGCTGTGACTATAGCCAAATTGCGGTGAGATCAATATGGATTTGAAAACTAAGGTAAGAATTCAGTGACACAATTTTCTGTTACAAGTAATTTAATCTTATATTGCATGCTATGTATGTATTTTTTTTCTCTTGATTACAAATTCCTTAAGGGTAAGAACAGAGGCAGATTCATTTTTATACTTCCCACAGTTCTACCATAACAGGTAGTCAGTAAATATTTAAGTGAATGAATGAATTAAAAAAAAGAGTAAATTAGGCTCTGTGTGGGTCATGTGAATATTTTAAATTAAAAATGCTGAATACTGACATGTAACCATTTTAGGACTCCTGCTGGCTCAGATGGTAAAGAATCTGCCTGCAATGCAGGAGTGAAAGAAAGTGTTAATTCCTCTGTTGTGGCTGACTCTTTGTGACCACATGGGCTGTAGCCCGCCAAGCTCCTCTGTCCATGGAATTCTCCAGGCAAGAATACTGGAGTGGGTAACCATTCCCTTCTCCAGGGGATCTTCCGACCTCAGGATGGAACCCAGTTCTCTTGCATTGCAGGCAGATTTTTTTTTACCATCAAGCCACCAGGGAAGCCCATGCAATGCAAGATTTCCCTGGGTTGGGAAGATCCCCTGGAGAAGGGAACTGATGTTCAGATAATGATAGGAATTGGACAATTTGTTGCAGAATATGAAATGAAATGAAAACTAAGATCATTAACATTCTAGTTTGATTTTGAATGTCATGTTAAAAAAAAGTAAATACACAACTTGGTAGTTGTTATAGAAACTTTATTATTAAGTATAAGTAAGTTTTCCTATAATTAGAACTGTCAAGTGTTAAGTAAACATTTATTCAATATACTATTAGGATTTTTCTAAACTAGAACCTTACTAACTTTATTAATGGCTAACTTGCAGAAATATGAAACAAGAGTGGGAGACAAGGGGACTCAGCTTTCCGGGGGACAGAAACAGCGGATTGCTATTGCCCGAGCCCTCATCCGACACCCCCGCATCCTACTGCTGGATGAAGCTACATCAGCACTGGATACTGAAAGTGAGAAGGTATGGCTTCCTACTTCATGTCCCATTTAATTTATAAAACAAAACTTTTTCGTGCAATCATGAAAAAAACACAAACAGCTCAATATTTTTAAAGAACTCTGGCAAAAAAAAAAAAGTGGACAGAAGTCCTAGATATTCTTCAAAGAAGACATACAGATGGCTAACAAACACATGAAAAGATGTTCAGCATCACTATTAGAGAAATGCAAATCAAATCTACAGTGTAGTATCACCTCATTCCAGTCAGAATGGCTATCATCAAAAAGTATACAAATAATAAATGCTGGAAAGGGTGTGGAAAAAAGGAACCCTCCCACACTGGTGGTGAATGTAAACTCAGCCAGTCACAGTGGAGAACAGTATAGAGGTTCCTCAGAAAACTAAAAGTAAAGTTAGCATATAATGCAGCAGGTCCCACTCCTGGGCATATATCTGGAAAAGAAACTTGGTTTGAAAGGATACATGCACCCCAGTGTCCTTTGCAGCACTGTTTACAATGGCCAAGATATGGAAGCACCTAAATGTCCAGCGACAGAGGAATGGATAAAGATGTGGTACATATAAACAATGGACTAATAAACCATAAAAAGAGTGAAATAACGCTATTTGCAGCGACATGGAGGGACCTAGAGGTTACCGTACTAAGTGAAGTCAGTCAGAGAAAGAAATACCATTATGATATCATGCAAATGTGGAATCTAAAAAATAATGCAAAAGAACTTATTTACAAAACAGAAAGACTCATAGACAAAGAAAACAAACTTATGGTCATCAAAGAGGGGAGGGATAAATTAGGAGTTTGATTTTAAAATATATACTATATATAAAATAGATTAACCAAGAACCTACTATATAGTATAGGCATTTTATTCAACATTTTGTAATAATCTATGATGGAAAATATGAAAAAGGATATATGTAACTGAATCACTTTGCTGCATGCATGAAACTAACACACCATTGTAAACTGTATTTCAATAAAATTTTTAAAAGATAGATAAGCACAGAAAAAAGTAAACAAATGTAGACAGCAGTTATTTTGAGGTAAAATATTTTTATTTCATCCCTTACTTCCAGCATTTTCCAAATTTTCTAAAATGATTTTAGAAAATATTATACACAAAAAGTACTTTTATTGCACTTTTTGTTTGAATGCTTTAGCATATTAACAATGGAAAAACTGGGAAATAAAAACACTCAAAATTGAAGCCATTAGTTTAAATTATTTTGTGACTGGTTAGAAAATTTAAAGACTCGTGAAGATTAGTTTGAGAATACATTTTTATTATAAAGAACATAACTGTATGCAAGACGGACTATGTAAAACAATACATAAAGCTAAAAGTTCAAAGATGACACAAGAAATGAGAGGTGACTTTCTTTTGTATAGATGGTAAAAATATTTGGATTTCCTTTACTTTTAAAACTTATTTCTGTCATTTTTAAGGTGAGGCTTCTGTTCTATTAATAGATTGTCCAAGAAGCCCTGGACAACGCCCGAGAAGGCCGCACCTGCATCGTGATCGCTCACCGCCTGTCCACCATCCAGAACGCGGACATGATCGTGGTGATTGAGAACGGCAGGGTCAGGGAGCGCGGCACGCACCAGCAGCTGCTGGCGCAGCGAGGCGTCTACTTCACCATGGTCAGTGTCCAGGCTGGGACAGAGAACTGATGAACTCTTGTTATAGTGTATCTTAAAAATAAATTCCGACAACTTTTTTCTGATTTAGAGACTTCTTTGATAAGTCACCATAAAACATAGGTATATCTTATTCCAATTTGCAACATCCAATTTGGGGTTGGATATTACAGCTTTTGAAATTTAGTTGTTAAAAGTAACATCTGGCTTGGTGCAGCATGAAAACAGCCCGGTTCTGAGTTACCAAAAATGTATGGAGAGAATATTACTCACCATAAAAAAAGAAGTAACACCATTTGCAGCCTCATAGATGGACCTAGAGATCATCTTAATAAAATCAGTCATTATCTTAACTAAATGTTTCTCAGACAAATACCCCATGATATCACTTAAATATGGAATCTGGGATCAACAGAAACACACTACTATATATAAAAATAAACATTAAGGACCTACTGTATAGCACAGGGAATAATATTCAATATCTTCAATCTATAATGGGAAGGAATCTGAAAAATAGACATATAAAAATAATGGAATCACTTTGCTGTATACCTGGAACATTGTAAATCAACTATATATGAATTTAAAAAAAGAAAGTAAAAAGTTTAGGTATATAAAACTGTAGATTGAAGATGCAATCCAATCCTTATCAAATTATTCATGACATTTTCCACAGAACTAAAATAATCCTAAAATACATATGGAACCATAAGAGACAGAGAATTGCCAAAGCAATTCTTTTCCTGAAGGAAAAGAACAAAGCAGGAGGCCTAACCGTCTCAGACTTCAGACAGTACCATAAAGCTAATCAAAACAGCATGTTATTGGCACAAAACCAGACATATGGATCAATGGAACAGGACAGACAGCCTAGAAGTAAAACCACACACCTACAGTCAATTAATCTTTGACAAAGGAAGCAACAATATACAATGGAGAAAAGACAGTCTCTTTCAGCAAGTGGTACTGGGAAAGCTGGACAGCTTCATGTAAATCAATGAAGTTAGAATACTCCCTCACACTGTAAGTGAAAATAAAATGGCTTAAAGACAAACATAAATATTACACCATGAGACTCCCTAGAAGGGATCATAGGCAAAACATTCTGACATAATTCATACCAATTTTTTTTTTTGGCTGCACCAAGTCTTAGTTGTGGCACATGGGATCCTCTATCCTAAATGTGGCATGCAGGATTTTGAGTTGCAGGATGTGGTATCTAGTTCCTCAGCCAGGGATTGAACCTGGGCTCCCTTGCATTGGGAGCATGGAGTTTTAGCCACTGGACCACTTGGGAAGTCCTCATACCAGTGTTTTCTAGGTCAGTTTCCCAAGGCAACAGAAATAATAAAAATAAACAAATGGACCTAATCAAACTTACAAGCTTTTACAGAATGGGAGAAAATATATACAAATGATGTGAACAACTAGGGACTGATTTCCAAAATATACAGCTCTACAACTCGGTAAACAAACAACCCAATCAAAAAATGACAAGAAGTTCTAAACATTTTTCCAAAGAAGACATACAGATCGCCAACAGGCATATGAAAATATGCTCAACACTGCTAGTTATTAGAAAAATGCAAATCAAGACTACAATAAGGTATCACCTCACATCAGTCAGGATGGCCATTAAGAACTCTACATATAACAAATACTGGAAAGGGTACAGAGAAAAGGGAACCTTCCTATACTGTTGGTGAGAATGTAAGTTGGTACAACCACCATGTGGGGAAGAGGAAGGCAGCTCAAGAGGGAAGTGATATATGTGTACTTATGGCTGATTCACGTTGTACTGCAGAAACCAACACGTTATAAAGCAGTTTTCCCCCAATTAAATATTTTTTTAAAAAAGAGAAAAAAAACCAGCCAAATGATTCTAAGTGTGCTGACAATCAAGTCAACACTTGTACTAGTGAGTATAAAGGTCTTAACTCGGATTTCATCTTTGTAGTCTGTATTAACTCTTAAGGATACATCAATTGCCATAGAGGCCAACTCTGAATGTTTTCACAAAGAAATAACAATGACAAGCAGTCATCAGCACCAGAACCTATGAAAATGTAACCAAAAAAGGATATATATTCTACAACCAGTGCACTAAATGTATTGTAATATTGGTGGTAGGTTGCTGCAAAATGGCCCCCAATAAACCACGCCTTCTTGTGCCCACTCATTTACATTTACCAAATTATTTACAAATTACTTTGTTGCTCCTCTTACTGTGAGGCAAAACCTTTTTCCTCCTCCACTTGATCCTGGGCTGCTCTGGTAACTCGTTCTAGCTAAGGACACACAAAAGGGACATCATGTGCCTTCAACATGACTTCAGAGCCTAGGCCTCAAGAGGTCTTTCAACTTCCACCCTTCCCTCCTAGAACATTCCCACTGCCCAGTTCAGAAGTCCAGGCTAGAATCCTGAATGATCAAAGACCATGCAGACAAGTCCCAGCCACCACGCAGGGCGGGCGTGAGGCTGTCTCAGACTTTGCAGCCTCACCGCCTGCCTGGTACGGGCAGTGCTGTAACTCAGGGAAGACAGAAGCACAGCCATGCGAGTGGGCACAATCCACTGACAAATCATGAGACAACCACCTGTTGTGAGACAGGGGCGGTTATTAGACAACAAATATGCAACTGATCAGAAAGTAGAGGGCCACAGAGGAATGAACCACTCAAACACAAAACAAGAAGCTATGTGATTTTGAAAATTTTATTTTCTGAGGGTAAAAACTATAAAACTGGATAAAGGAAAAAGAAATCCTGAGAATTTGACTTAGTACTCAATCCTTTTTAAAGTCATTATGTTAAAGATAAGTGCTTTAAGTTCATGTTCACAAAACAAATTATTGGTTTGGCCAGAAAGTTCATTTGGCTTCTTCTGTAAGATGCTATGGAAAAACCCAAACAAACTTTGGGCAAGTCAATGTAATGATATAATAAATTTGCGATGGTTTTTTTGTACGTGTCAGAGCGTGTAAACCTCCTTACTACAACCTAATTCTGTCTGTTCTACATAAACTTTCAGATTAAACTGTAGTGGTCTTTCCTAAACATAGTAGGCTTGTATCCCTGTGGTGAATGTAGAACCACTGATTTCAGGGAAGTTAGCGTCCAATCATGTATTTCATATTCCTTTGGCAACTAGAAAATGTTAAAGTGCTTGAAAGATGGACTCTACAATGATGTCCAGAGAGACTTATTACCTACTTAGGTACCAACAAAGATATTTAAGAGTTAGATTTGCATTGTTGAGGCTGATCTTAAACTTTGCATAGTTCTATAATCATATTGTAATTTGCATTGCTGCTGCATCAGAGGAAGCTTAAAAATATTTCTACTTTCTATGTCAGGATAAATTTTGAGAGCATGATTCTACTGGTCTCTACATTTAACAAGTTTCCTTCAGTCAACATCCGTTCCTTTCTCACAATACCACCCACTCCCGGCACCCAGTTATATGTTTTGGTAAGTGCTTAATAAATGATTAGTCTCTAGAGATGAGGCGTTTCCATCAGTTGCATCATATCATGGAAAGCATGAAAAACCTGCTGAACTAGCTTCTCTGCATCAGTCTCTGGACTTGATTTCCAGGCTGAACAGGACACAACAAACCTGTAAAGTACAAATAATAAATGATCACAACGCAAAGTTAATACGAAAAGGCTCCAACTCGTGACAGTGAAGAAAGCCATGACCTTTATTCCACCTGGCTATTCATGTATGAAATAGGATTGCTTGCTCACTATGGGTAAAGGTAATCGGACACAATAGAAAGTAAAGCCACATTTTTGCATATAGCACAACACCTAATTTACCTTGTAACTAGAGCCTAAGAACAAAAGGGAACAAGAAACTAGTCAGAGCTCAAGGGTGCTCTGGAGTTAAGTCTAAATAACTTTAGACTTAAAGTTATTGTGCTAAATAACTCGCTTCTTCCTATAAAAGACCTTCCTAACATGCCACAAATGGGATGAGTTAGATGAATTCATGACACTGTCTGCAATAAAACTTGAACTATTTTTAAAGAATACTTGAAGAGAGTAAACAAAAATAATAAAATAGAAAAAGAAGGGTAAGAGGAGAGAAAGGCTGTTTCTAGAAAAGCCAGAGAAACTCTCTTGAAACAAAGATATGCCCTCCACACTATGTTCTTCTAGAAGCTCCTGGTGAAGAAATCCCCTATGCAGTAGCTGATAAAGGTGGCCCCAGGAAGCTGAAATAAATAGGAAGAAAGCCTGGTTCTTCGAGAGCTCAGAGCAGAAACGTGGCTACTAATTCTCTTGGAACTAGTTTTCCCCTTTACAGACACACAAATTTTCTACCCCAAAACATGCAATATGCTCAAGTCAAACAGATCGCCAGTCCAGGTTCAATGCATGAGACAAGTGCTCAGGGCTGGTGCACTGGGATGACCCAGAGGGATGGGATGGGGAGCGAGGTGGGATGGGGGTTCAGGATGAGGAATGCATGTAAATCCATGGCTGATTCATATCAATGTATGGCAAAAACCACTACAATACTGCAAAGTAATTAGCCTCCAACTAAAATAAATAAATTAAAAAAAATCAAAATGTTGTATAAGTCTTGTGGATGACCATGCAATTTTCACATCACTGAAAATTAAGACAGGAAAGTAGGTATCTTCGACATGTACTTTAGATAAAGCAGAATGAAATAAAAACATGTTCTGGCTCAGTATATAATAATGAAACCAATGTTTGAGTGGATTATCTTTGCTGAAAGATACACAGGAACTTACAGAAAGCCCTGCCTTGCTTTCACTGGTGATTCATGATCAGTAGCCATTTTCTAGCTATACTGTACATACACCTCTAAATATTTACCAAAAGCTAAGTATTTCTTCGCAAAGAGTAACAATTTCTGTGTTAAATTTTTTTAATTCAGTTATATTTTTAAACTATAGAAAGAATAATCATTCCTACATGCATAATTCACCAAAGAATATACACAGATGCTAATAAACAAAGAGAATGTTTTGCTTCATATGAATTCAGGTTAGGTTATATTTTCCTATAAAAATTTGTAGACTGCTTTATAAATGCCTAAAGTTGGCAATGATGTGGTAAAATAAGGAATACTATCATATTATTATTTGTAATGAGAAAAACTGGAAATAGTAGGGAAGTGGTTTAATTATGGAAATCCATAAGACTAAACCTCAGATACACAGATGACATCACTCTAATGGCCAAAAATGAAGCAGAACTAAAGAGCCTCTTGATGAAGGTGAAAAGAGGAGAGTGAAAAAGCTGGCTTAAAACTCAACATTCAAAAAACTAAGATCATAGCATCCAGTCCCATCACTTCACAGCAAGCCGAAGGGGGGAAAGTAGAAACAGTGACAGATTTTCTTTTCCTGGACTCCAAAATCACTGCGGACAGTGACTGAAGCCACGAAAGTAAAAGATGCTTGCTCGCTCCTTGGAAGGAAAGCTATGACAAACCTAGACAGTGTATTCAAAAGCAGAGACATCACTTTTCTGACAAAGGTCTGTATAGCCAAATCTGTGGTTTTTCCTGTAGTCATGTAGAAATGTGAGAATTAGACCATAAAGAAGGTTGATGCTTTCCAACTGTGCTGGAAAAGACTCTTGAGAGTCCCATGGACTGCAAGGAAATCAAACCAGTCAATCCTGAAGGAAATCAACCCTGAATATTCATTGGAAGGATTGATACTTAAGTTCCAATACTTTGGACACCTGATGTGGAAAGCCAATTCACTGGAAAAGACTGATGCTGGGAAAGACTGAGGGCAAAAGAAGTGGGTGGCAGAGGATAAGATGGTTGGATGACATCACTGACTCAAGGACGTGAATCTGAGCAAACTCTGGGAGATAGTGAAGGACAGGGAAACCTGGCGTGCTGCAGTCCATTGGGTCACAGAGAGTCAGACACAATTTAGTGACTAAACAACGAGACTAAATATTACTCAACCAAAAATACCTCAAAGCATATTTAATGGCACTGAGAAATGCTTGACATAATATTGAGAATGCAATTCACAAAAAGGATGCTAAAATACTTATAATATGATCTACATTTATAAAAAAGTATACACTATAATCTATGCACATTATAGATTAGAAAGATAATGTCATGTCTTACAACGGAAATGTTAAATTTGTTCTTATATTTTTCCATATTTTACAAAATATTTTAACAATGAGCATGAAGTACACATAAAATAAAATGCTATTTCAAAAATAAACTAACTTTCTCTAGGTCATACATTTTCGAGCTTAACAGTGAATGAGAAATTCCTTTCAGAGAATTTCTATGTATTTGGGGTATATACACAGTAATGACTCAGAAATTGAGTACACCTTGAGCTCTGACTTGTTTTCTGAGCTCCAAACTCATATATCCAACTGCCTACTGGCATATTATCTTGTATATAAATACAAATTATAGTTAATTCCTGTGTTAGCAGAAATTTTGAAGTGACCATGTACAAAACAAAATTATTACTTCTACCCTAACATGCCCATTTCCCCTCTAATTTTCTCCATCCCAGTAAATGCCACCATTAGAATCAGTAATCCATCAATAAGTCTTACTGGTTCTACCTCCAAAACATCTCTCAAATCTCTCTACTGCTCTCCACCTTCAGTATCAACTGCCTTGTTCAACACACATACCTTCCATGCTTCCTGATTTCTTTCATCTCATTCTTGTTCATAATACTATATACCTAATTTATATTGCATATAACAGCCAAGGGTCCTCCTCAAATGTAAATAAAACAAGTAACTTTCATACTTCAAATTGGTAAAATGCTTCCCATTACTTTTCGGAGGAAATCCAAACTCCTTACCATGTTATAAGGCCCTACATCAACGGAGCACCCCAACCAAATCAGTACCTCCAGGAATACTGTTTCTAAAGCTCACCAGGTAATTCTCAGATGCACTCAGGGTTGAGAACACTGCCCTTCCTGCCAGTTTTAGCTCTGGTCTCCCCCTCTTCTATCTCTTCTTCTACCAACTTCCCACTCAGTTGTTAATGTATAGCCACACTGCCCCTTAATATTCCAAGTTCTTCCCTATCCTCAGACTTGCGTGCTTCTGCTAAACAACAAAGTCACTGGGAAATAGGAATGAGCACAACATGTTGAGCTGGGGATCCAAAAAAATTAAAAATCATGTTCTTGCAGGCTTATATTCTAGGAAGTAAAGATAGATAATACATACACACACACACACACACACACACACTGGGTGATTATAAATGTTAAAATTCAACAGCTGTGTGTGGGGAAGGGGGACTGCTATTTTAGACGGTCAGGGAAGGCCTCTCTGATGAGAGCCTGTGAAATAAGGCGGTCACCCTTGCACATATTGCAGGTAAGAGACTACTTAGAGGAGGAAATCACGAGTGTGAGGGCCTCGAGGACAGTGCTTTCCCGGCAGGTACAAGGCAGCCATTGTGGCTGGAGTGGAAGCAATCAGAAGCACTGCAGGAGACAAGGTTAGAGAGGCAGAAGGGAGCAAGACCACGAGGGTCTCTCAGGAGGACTCGACCTTGTGTGACTGAAAGGAAAAGCCTTTCTGCATCTATTGAGATAATCATATGGTTTTTATCTTTCAATTTGTTAATGTGGTGTATTACATTGATTGATTTGCGGATATTAAAGAATCCTTGCATTCCTGGGATAAAGCCCACTTGGTCATGATGTATGATTTTTTTAATATGTTGTTGGATTCTGTTTGCTAGAATTTTGTTAAGGATTTTTGCATCTATGTTCATCAGTGATATTGGCCTGTAGTTTTCTTTTTTTGTGGCATCTTTGTCTGGTTTTGGAATTAGGGTGATGGTGGCCTCATAGAATGAGTTTGGAAGTTTACCTTCTTCTGCAATTTTCTGGAAGAGTTTGAGTAAGATAGGTGTTAGCTCTTCTCTAAATTTTTGGTAGAATTCAGCTGTGAAGCCATCTGGTCCTGGGCTTTTGTTTGCTGGAAGGTTTCTGATTACAGTTTCGATTTCCTTGCTTGTGATGGGTTTGTTAAGATCTTCTATTTCTTCCTGGTTCAGTTTTGGAAAGTTATATTTCTCTAAGAACTTGTCCATTTCTTCCAAGTTGTCCATTTTATTGGCATAGAGCTGCTGGTAGTAGTCTCTTATGATCCTTTGTATTTCAGTGTTGTCTGTTGTGATCTCTCCATTTTCGTTTCTAATTTTGTTAATTTGGTTCTTCTCCCTTTGTTTCTTAATGAGTCTTGCTAATGGTTTGTCAATTTTGTTTATTTTTTCAAAAAACCAGCTTTTAGCTTTGTTAATTTTTACTATGATCTCTTTAGTTTCTTTTGCATTTATTTCTGCCCTGATTTTTAAGATTTCTTTCCTTCTACTAACCCTGGGGTTCTTCATTTCTTCCTCCTCTAGTTGCTTTAGGTGTAGAGTTAGGTTATTTATTTGACTTTTTTCTTGTTTCTTGAGGTAGGCCTGTAATGCTATGAATCTTCCCCTTAGCACTGCCTTTACAGTGTCCCATAGGTTTTGGGTTGTTGTGTTTTCATTTTCATTCATTTCTATGCATATTTTGATTTCTTTTTTGATTTCTTCTATGATTTGTTGGTTATTCAGAAGCGTGT